ACAGTAGGACATTGACTTTTTAGCAGCATTATACTCAACATAATGTCAAACCAGTCCAGCTCTCTGACCCCGTAGTGCCAGCCAGTGAAGGGGCCGTGTGAATGGAGTGGGAGAAAATGGGTTGTTTCTTTGGACACACGCACACGCACACGCACACGCACATGCACACGCACACGCACACTCACACTCACACTCACACTCACACTCACACACACACACACTTTGATGCAGTCCATCCAAACACAAAGGCTGTCCAATACTGTAATGTGAAGGAGATAAAAAAAGACAACAGGATTATCTCATTGGATTTTGGAATATTGCGTAAAATAAGATCTGTGGCAATCACACGTTTATGCGAAATTATTTTGTTCCATTATTTTGTTGTGTAGACAAAGTAAAAGTTGTTCTCTCATTTGTCCCCTTGCTGTCTGCATTATAAATGTCCTTTGTATTTAATTAGCATACGTATGGACATATTAACCTTTTCACAGACATTATTTGTAGAGCACACTGTGTGTGTGTGTGTGTGTGTGTGTGTGTGTGTGTGTGTGTGTGTGTGTGTGTGTGTGTGTGTGTGTGTGTGTGTGTTGTGTGTGTGTGTGTGTGTGTGTGTGTGTGTGTGTGTGTGGGTGTGTGTGTGTGTGTGTGTGTGTGTGTGTGTGTGTGTGTGTGTGTGTGTGTGTGTGTGTGTGTGTGTGTGTGTGTGTGTGTGTGTGTGTGTGTGTGTGTGTGTGTGTGTGTGTGTGTTGTGTGTGTGTGTGTGTGTGTGTGTGTGTGTGTGTGTGTGTGTGTGTGTGTGTGTGTGTGTGTGTGTGTGTGTGTGTGTGTGTGTGTGTGTGTGTGTGTGTGTGTGTGTGTGTGTGTGTGTGTGTGTGTGTGTGTGTGTGTGTGTGTGTGTGTGTGTGTGTGTGTGTGTGTGTGGCATATTGTTAATAAGAAGCCCGGTTTAGAGTGGAACATTTGACATTTGTAAGTCGTGGTGGCAGGCAGCGCATACAGCATAGAGTCTGAAGGGACAGGAAGATCATTTCCTTATTTATCACAGTCAGGCCAGTGGCGGTTTCTGTGCCACAATTATGGAGACAACGTCCTCCGCTTGGGGACAGAATCAAGGCCAGAGTGAGTCAGTGAGCCTGACACTGTACATCTCACATCCAATATAAAAAGCGGAATATATTTGGAAAGAATATCACTTAGGCGGTTAACTGACAAGGAGACTGTTTCACGACTGCTGCATCAGCAACAGTTTCAATACACTTTAATGTGAAGGCATGTCATACCATTCCACTGGTTATATAAAACTTGATGCCCAATATATTTTACATTTACAAAGTTACTACAGTATGATAATCAGTAATTGTACAGAATACGTTTTATTATTGATCAAAGGTTCAGGAGAGGACGTGATAGGGCGTGCAGTAAATAGGGTTGTGTAAAATACAACATATTTAAAAAAAATGCTACTGTTTGGGTAAAAGTCTAAATGATAAAACAAATAACTAACACAATGTAAATAAAGGTATGTTGCTAATTTGTTATGTTGCTATTTTCTGCACGCTTTCTGAATTCTAGTTTTTCTTTCACCAAATGAAGACTAGCTAAATAGCCTTGTTAACTAATCGTAGAACAGGCTTCATACAAACTTAACAGAAACAAATGAAACTAATTACATTCATCTTGGTTGTTCTTACAAGGCTTTTCAAACCATCATCACCTACAGCTTGGTCAAAATATAACACTTGATTTACTGAGTTAGATTAGATAGGAATATAGAATGGAATAGAATAGAAGCATTTATTGTCATTATACAAATAAAACGAGAAGAGTAAAGCTAATCCTTTTAAGGTGCCATCAAAACATTCATACATACATGAATGCCCAACTGCGGGAAACTATAAAATTAGCTAAATAAAATATTTAAAAATGTGTTCATTACGTCATGCTTGGCCTCTCCGAGAGTCATTCAGCACTTGAAATAGATTTTGCTTGGATGCTTGAAATAAGCTCTCGGGTCAATACAAGCTAATGAGGTTTGCACGTTTTGCCCAACACAAAAAATACTTTCATAAATACCTCAATCGTAAATGTCCAAAGTCATCGCATTAAAGTCCGCCTTTAGCTTAGCAGTGTTAACGTGAAGTCATGTGACCTTGTAGTAGTTTGTTTATAGCCATAACATCAGCTTTCTACTTCTTTGCACTTATTCTTAAAAAAATGTAAAAGTGTTAATTTGTTGAGATTATCCTGCCTCTAAGTATTTTAAACATGTAACATGTATTTTTGCAACAAATATAATGTTCTGCAATATAATCAAATGTACACATCCAATTGTCTTGCGGGGCTAACTTACGGGTTTGCCTACTATAAAACATGTCATCACTGCACCACTCTATTATGACCTGTTTAACTTCCAACTAATAACAGTTACAGTGTATGTTGAATTACATAAAATGTTGGTTTTCTTTTAGTCTTTTACTCTGGTATCAAATTAGTATCCAGAGTTTTTGAATTTCGCTAGACAGAGTTTTTGAATTTCGCTAGACATCCTAAGACTCTAGACTTATTCTTGGTATTTCCTGAACACTTCTCTGATGTGACATACCCGATTTAGTCACACAGGTTTTTAACAGACTGATGTGTTTTCCATGACTTACTAGATAATGCAGGAATTGGTCCTGTGAGTAACATTTCTTTGGACACAGATAGTTAGATAGATGGACTTAGCTGCAGAGAATACAAAACACAAATAGAGAAATATTAAGAATGTAGTTTGCTTTCAAGCTCTCCATCCATCTTTGTCTCTCAGTACTAGGGATGGGAATTTGAAAGCAAATGTATATTCGAATATTCAACCCCCAAAAAAAAGGTTAACTGATTAACTGAAATGTTCATATCTTATAAAAAAAAAAAAAATGTGGGAAACATTTTTACAAAAAGAAAAGAAAAATATTTAATTTTGAAAACTAAATACATGTTCAAATAAGTATAGAAACCAAGTCGAATTTGTCAAATGTATTGAACTGGTGATCACAGTTTGAACAGTTGACAGCTATAGGCCTACAGCTTTCATGCTTAAAACATAACTTTATTACTATTACAACCGAGATCAACAACCTATAACAGGGCCTATGCACAGAATGCAGCTATTCAATACTCATTCTTGTTTAAGAATATGAGCATGTTGCAGGCGGGTGCAGAAGCGATTCACAATCAGGCCAGCTGTAGAGAAGACCCTCTCAGCTGGAATTTGGGCATAAGATGAGGTTTGAGTCTGCGTGATCTGCGTGTAGGGAGGGGCAGCAGCCATATCATTAGCTAGAACTAGCTAGATCTGATGGATTTGGACATAAACACGAGTGAAGTATAACTGGACGCGAGAGAGAGAGAGATCAGCACCTGCAGCTCTGCCCGCTGTGAGGGACCGGTGAGCGGAGCAAAACACACCTTTAGACCTAACACATGTAGCTATGGCACTGTCGTATACATTGAATTATTCCATTTGATAATATGTAATCAACTTAGGCACCCCTCCCAAAAAAACCAAACAAATATATATAAATTTCTCATATTCGAATACCTGAATAATTTCGAATATTTGATTAATCGTTCCCATCCCTACTCAGTACCCGAGTATTTGCTAATATGATTGAGTATTGTAGGATTTGTCATGCCCTTCAGGCTCTTTCATACACACACACGCTCAGAGCCCTGTCATACATCACAGCTTAAAGGCTTATAGAGTAGCTCCTTCTTGTATCTTGTCAGCTTTTTGACTCATGACAAGCTTTTCAATTTCCCCCTCCTCACCTGACTGCACTTTACAGCTCCGGCGCTCTGAGCTCCCTCCCTCTCATCTCGCCTGCTGTCTTGTTCTTTTTGACTGAGCCTCTCATGAGAAAAATACAAATGATGTAGACGTAGCCTTGTCCAGAGCTTAAAATGATATCACAATCCAAGTGTTCACCCACAAAAGGTGCTGTAATGTATGTGTTAAGAGTCTGGGCTGCCAGTGTTTGGTGTTTCTGACTTATAATATTTAGCATTTTGATGCCTTCAAACCAATTGGTTTTGCAAAGTGGCTCTTGTAATGTGATAAATATGAAACTGTGAAGAATATTGCCATTAGTGCCATATGTAATATTTGTGCATGGACTTTGCTGTTGATTTGATTTGTAGGGAGGCAGTGGCGCAGTGGGTTAGTGCGTTAGTGTTTGGATCAGGGGAGCACAGGTTCAAACCCCACTGCAGTCAGCATGTCTGTGCAAGACACTTCACCCCAAATTGCTCCTGTGGGGATTGGTCACAGTATTGAGTATGTAATTCGCTTTAGATAAAAGCGTCTAGCAAGTATCATGTAATTTAATATATCTTAGGACAGGAATATTTGTATATAATCCACTTCATTCAGACTTTAGCAGAGATGCACAGGTCAGCTCCCACAATTTAATTTAAAATGTTTAATGCACACTGCGGCATAAACTTAGAAAAAATGCTTTTGATAGATGAAATTGTTTACTTGGAAGATCTGGGGGTAGGGCTGCAACCAATGATTATTTTCATTAAAGAATAAACTGCCGGTTATTTATTTCAATTAATTGTTCAATAAAATGTCAAAAGATTGGGAAAATGCTCTTCCCAGTTTTTTTTAACTTGAAGTCTTTAGATGACTTGTTTTGTCATTCCAAAATCCAAAGATATTCACTTTCAAATGAGAAAAACACTGTTTTTAGAGGAGGAAAATTGCCTTTTCTGCCATTTTTCGCATAAAATAGTTCCAAAATTGTGTCCTTCAATTCACTAGTCGTTGCAGTTCTGTTTGATGGTGTTGCTTACTGACACATATCTTATCTCAGGCTTCAATACTGACATATGTTGGTAATCAAACTGCTTGTGAAGACTTCAAAACTGTTGGTATACATCTGTAATCAAACATTTATATTTAAAGTGTTACATTTTTCTTCTGTTGTCATCCTAACTTTATCTGTTTTATATTTCTCCAGGGTCGCCATGTCAAGACCGGCCAACTGGCAGCTATCAAAGTCATGGAAGTCACAGAGGTAAACCAACATCACAATAATGACACACTCACTGTGTTTCTCTCCATCTCCACCAACTGTGTAGTCCTTTTTTTCTCTTACTCATCATTGTGAACATTTCAACATTGCCAGAACCTTCAACATGCTGTCACTGTTAATTGTACGTGACACAGGTGATCTAAGTCGAAACTAAGTTGAATAATGACTGCACCATGTAGGGTCAATGTATTACATTAAGGCCAAATTGTTGAAGGGATAGTCAGAGGAGTGTCTATAATGTTAACTTCTGGATAATAGATTATAAACTACAGTTTATTTATTATAGTATCCCAGATTGTTCTCAAAGTGGGCTAAGGCAGCATATATGAGATGTTAAACATTTGGGGCAAATCATTGAGGATTTTTTTTGTTTTTATTCTAAAGCGTGATTGTCCAATTGCATTCAAATGCCATCACGATGAGGACCGACATGTTTGCATTACTTAATTAAACAAACCAGACCCAGGTTGTATCCTATGACAGTTATGAACACTTCAGCACTTTGGAAGCAAAACACGTGAACTTTACTTAAGTTGTTGATTAGCCGCATTTATTCATAAGGAACATTTCTTTAAAAACACATATAGGGGAAAATATATACTTAAACAGTGGCCGCAAAAATTACGATATTTTAGAGCTACTTACTACATTTCTAAAAGAAGGCTTTCCTAGGACAAGCTTTGTTGGTAGAGAAAAAACCCAGCTACGTCAGAACGACATCCGCATATGTATTGTATGTGAAAAACTGACTAAGGATTGGGCTCAAGTCTTTTTTTAATTTTTTTGAAAAAAAATTTATGGTAAATAGTTTTATTGATTTTCTCAGTTTTTTAACAAAAGCAAGTGATACAAATTCAGTAAAGATATATACACACATGCTGACAAATCAAAATCTTCATTTCAATCCCACCACTCTCCCACCCACCAACCCACCCACTAACCCATTGAGTTACAGGATACAGAGCCCTTTAACAGTAAAATACAGTATTTTCATAATGACATTAGTTCAAGGGGGGCAAAGGAGGAGAAAAAAAAAGAAAAGAAAAAGAAAACACAGAGATAAACACAAAGAAAAAAAATAATAATAATGATAATGGAATAGAAATAAAAAAAATAAAAAATAAAAAAAGATGAATCAACTGCTCACTGCTCACCGCTCAATCCAACCTTATTCTTTATCAAGTGGATCTTGTAAGGAGTCATAGAAGTCCAGAAAGGGTTTCCATGTTCTAATAAAGGTGTTAGAGGAGCCCCTGAGTAAGAACTTAATTTTCTCTAGCTGTAAGAAGTACATAACATCTTTGACCCACTGAGAAAAGGATGGAGGGGAATGTTGCTTCCATTTTAGAAGAATCAAACGTCTCGCAAGAAGTGTAGAAAAGGCTATAACTATCTGAGCACTGTTTGGTAGGGATGCACAGGTCACCTTTGGTGCCAAACCAAAAAGGGCACAGAGCGGGTCAGGCTCAATACGAGTTTTAAACATTTCACTAAAAGATTTAAAAATACATCTCCAGAAAGTAAAGAGGCTGGGACATACCCAAAACATGTGTATTAGGTCTGCTGGCTGGCTTCTGCATCGGGGACAAGACTGTTCAACCTCTGGATACATTTTAGCCAATCTGGCGTTAGTTAAATGAGCTCTGTGTACCACTTTCAGTTGTATCAGGCTGTGTTTAGCAGAAGAGGAAGATGTGTGCACCCGGTCCAGGACTAATTCCCACTGGTCATCCGTCAAAGTTCTTCCCAGATCAGATTCCCAAGCAGCTTTTAAATGTTCAATAGGGTGCGGATTGACATTACCAATGAGATCATAAATCAGTGAAATCAGTCCTCTACGGTCTGACTTCAGTTCGAGGATATGGTCAATATGTGACTTTATGGGCTTATTTGGAAAAGAGCTGAATGTCTTACATACAAAGCTCCTAATTTGTAGGTAACGAAATAAGTGATTTTTCGGTAGGCTATACAGTTCAGATAATTGAGAGAAAGATGCAAATGTGTCTTCAATGTAAAGATTATAAATTGATTTAATCCCATTATTAAACCAAACCGTAAAAGCCGGGTCTGTACAGGATGGGGTAAACATGTGGTTTGACTTAATGGGGGAGAGAACAGAAGCACCCTGTAGTCCAAAGTGCCTCCTAAACTGAGCCCATATTCTTATTGAATTACTTACTATTACACTCGACTTCAAATTAGTGTTGAGAAGGGGTAAACCTGTGCAAACCACTGAGCCCAGGTGGTGTTGATATGAAGAAAACTCTCATTTCACCCAGTCCGCTTTTTCTGACATCGGTTTGTTTTCAAACCAGTGTATCAACTTCTGAATGTTGCATGCCCAATAGTAGAAAAGGAAATTAGGTAGAGCGAGACCTCCTGATCGTTTTGGCCTTTGCATATGAGCTTTACTGATCCGACTAGGTTTATTCCCCCAGAGGAAAGAAATAATACATTTATCAAGAGTCTTAAAAAACGATTTCTTAATAAAGACGGGGATGTTTTGAAAAAGATATAAAAACTTTGGTAACATTATCATTTTAACGAGATTGACGCGCCCTGTTAGAGATAATGGTAAGGAGGCCCAGCGGTTCATATCTTGTTTACACTTATTGAGAAGAGTGGTAAAGTTTTTAGTGAAAGTAGTAAGGAGAGAGCGAGTGACCTCAATTCCTAAATATTTGAAGCCATCTTGAGCCCTTTTAAAGGGGAAAAGTTCGCTCTTTTGTAAATTTAATTTATAACCCGAGACTTTCCCAAATTGATCGAGGATATCCAGGATATAGGGAAGCGATGAGGCAGGCTCGGATACATATAAAAGCAAGTCATCCGCGTAAAGGGACACCTTCAACTTTTGTCCTGCCCGATCAATGCCTTTGAAATCCTTACATAAACGGAGTTTTGTTGCCAAAGGCTCAATTGCTAGCGCAAAAAGAAGTGGGGAAAGCGGGCATCCCTGTCTTGTACCTCTTCCAAGGGGGAAGTAATTAGACCGAGTGTTATTAGAGATTATAGCAGCCAGGGGAGAGAAGTAGAGAAGTCTAATCCACGCAATGAATTCTTTTCTAAAGCCACATTTTTGGAGGGCAATGAATAGGTATCTCCATTCGACCCGGTCAAAGGCCTTTTCCGCATCAAGTGATATTACTACCTCTGGGTCTGGTGACCGAGCCGAGTGGACAATATTAAATAGTTTTCTCAAATTTGAATACGAATGTCGGTTCTGGATAAATCCTGTCTGATCAGGAGATATAATATCTGGAATCACATTTTCCAGACGTTTTGGGCTCAAATCTTTAAAAAGGTATGAAGCCTGCATCATGAACTGGAAGGAACTGGAGGAAGTGGGTCTAATGAAAGAGGCTATGAAGTTGAATAATGGGAAATGTAAAATCCAGTGTTTTTGGAGTCTGACTCACTGGAGGGACTAAACTATATCTCAGACTCTGCTGCATCGACTTTGACCATTCCTTTTTAAATATGCGTTTGTGAGTGCCCAAACTCTATGGAATTTCAAAACAAAATCACTTGGGGTACTTCTATTAGTAGTAACTTGTACTTTTGGTATAGATCTGCCCTTAGTCTAAATCCAATGTCCTGTATCCTCCCTAGCCTGCTAAAAGGGAAAGAAATGCACCCAAAAAAAGTGTGTTAGAGACTAATCAAGCGCTCCTGCTCATTTCAATTGGTTGGAAAGTTGGAATGGTTTAACAAGTAGTGATTATCAAAAAATAGGCAAGGCACATCATCATTTCCTGTACTTGTAAAATCTCTCAAAAGACAATAATTCTGTTTTTGTAGGCTCTGCATGCTCAATATTATAGTATTTTCAAGGCAGGAACATTAAGGGCAGGGAATCAATAGAGCCAACACTTGTCAGTAGAAAAGATAACACAGGAGGAGAGAGGGTTAGAAATGTAAGAAGAAGTGGTACCAAACGTGTCATCATCCAACAGGAATGACTGTAATAGTACGTTTTAAGACAACAAGCTGCAAAGAGAGTTGTTGTTAAACCTTCTTTTCTAGTTCACTTTCTGTTGTATTGAAATCCTTTTTCTTTCAAGTGACCCACCAAAGACATCAAGTATGAAACAATAACACAGGCATTTGCAGGGGTTTGCACCTGTTTAAAAATCGTAAAACTCATTATGTATTCAACGAGTTGTTTTTGTATGGCTGTCTTTTGTCTTTTGCCCAATTCAATTCTCTCCACACTCATGCAGGTAATGGAAGCAATGGGACTTTTACAATAAGGTGCAAACAAAAACCTACTTTAAAATATATTGCTTGCCTGACAAAATTCAATTACATGAAATAGGGTTCTACTTTCTTATATTTATAGTCCCACCAATATTACTGCTTTGACCCAGAAATAGTTTTTTATTAGATGCTTGGGTAGTGTCCTTGATATTAAAGTTCTGCTTACTTTCAAAGCCACACAGTCCTGGTCATATACAATATTAATAAAGCTCATCATATTGTAAATCAATTTGAGGATGAAATAAAACATCTCTTTGATTCTGTATTTTTGAATTCCAGTGGTGATGTACATCTTAAAGTTATATAAGGACCACCCCGATACACCTTCAACTCTAAGTTTGGGTCCAAAGAGGGAGTTCATATGGGTTTATGAGCTCTGCGTTGTGGTCCTACAGCTGTGCTGGGGTACAAACAGGAGACGTGTGGAGGTTTTATTGAATGTTGCTGTTGGTTTACAGATGTAGATCACCAGTGCCAGCAGAATGGGGTTAAATGAAGGCCAATACAAGTTTGTAGAAGAAGGTGGAGTGAAGCACGCTACCATAATGTAGCAAAGCAGAGTTTGACGGAGAATTGTCATTCAAAAAATTATGCTAACGCAGCGTCCACACGGCGGCGTGCGTTGAAGCTTGCCGGCGGGCGTGTCTGAAACTCGACCAACAACCAATCACATGAATCTCCCGCCCCGGACACACAAGGACGTGGTTTTGATTGGCTAGAACTTGTACTGGCATATGATTTGATTGGCTGGCGCTTCCGTCGAAGCTTCAGAAGTTGAACATTGCTCAACTTTTGAAGCGAGCAACGCGAGCAGAGCAACGCGAGCAAAGCGAAGCGATGCGACCACAATGCAGTTCGGCAAAGCGTGACGTCACCCCATTCAAAGTGAATGGGCAGAAGCGTTGAAGCTTCAACGCACGCCGCCGTGTGGACGGGCCGTAAGAGATCAAATTCTCAACATGATGTGTACATTTAAAACCACATTATTAGTTGTTCAATCTATGACTGGATCTATAGAAAATGCATCCTTTTATTCAAGTATTTATTAAGTCAAGTCATTAAGGCATGCGATGGTGATTTCTTCTGGGAAGGCAATGTTGGTCTGACTTTCGTTGGGCTGTTCTATTCACCACTTTCATCCGGACTGATATTCCTCGCAATTATTCGATGGATATCCTTAAAAATGTGTAAAGCCATTCATGGTGTTAGCTTGCCAATGTTAGCATGAAGCTCGATTTCAGTCTCTCAGAGGATCTAGCTTTAATTTAACTGTAATTTCCCCGCTTTTTAATTGGTAGGATTTTTTTTGCTTACATTTAGTTATGGACTATAGTTTAAAAAAAACGGAATATCTTTGGGTTGTGGACAGTTGTTGGACAGAGAGCTCACGTAATTTGATGATGTCACGTCAAGATGTGACATTGGGATGTAGGAATGTATGGTCATTTTCCAGCAATTAATTGAGTAACATAATAAAACATGTTAAATAAACAAGTTTTTGTTTTCTGAAAAACAGGTACTACGAACTGGACTAACCTTAAACTGGTTGATGCTTTATACTTTGCCCCAAATCAGATTTTTGCAGAATTGGACCCTGGTTTATTTCCTGTTGATGAGATTCTGGGTCTCCTGTGTTGCAGACAAACTCTTTAGCAGGAAATGCTCGGCTATTATCTCCCTTCTCACACACATGCACACCCAAACAGAGAAAGAGAGATAGGGGGGGGGGTGCTCCAGACACAGGCAGGAGGCTTTTGTGTTTTAGAAGGAGGTGAAAGGTCAAACACTGCCTTGTCATTTGCTCTGCTCCTGTCCTGTGGAGATTTAAAGGAGGTCAGTGACTGGGAGAAGCTCTCTGTTGCTCTCCTCCACTGCTCCTCCACCGCTCCTCCCTCAGATTTAGGGGTTCAGTGAATTGGAGAAGTCACAAGTCATTTCCGGGATTTATAGCTAGAACCAAAAACGGTCGCTCTGTTTCCTGTGCAAGCTTTCTTGGTCTTTGTGTCCCAACCCCGGTTGTTTTGTCGAGACATAGCTGTAGTTGAAATAAGGTCAACTATCTGAGGCCACTGAGAGGTCAAGCAACAATCTGAAAGAAGATGCTTTTTCTCTGGATTTGTAGGTGTTTGCCTTGTAGGTACTCTATGGGAATAAAAAAGGAAAACTTTTAAAGTGCCACCTTCGACTTTTAAAGATACACTTCAACATTAGCGGGCTTATACATGTTTCTAAAGTAAGGTTTAATATCATTCTTGAAGGAAGAACAAACAGGAAGCAAGGATCGAGAGTAACTTTCAAAGCAGAAGTGTAGACTGGATTTTGAAGTGGCGTTGTATTATCTAAAGTTGATGGTCAGCACATCCCCAGATTGGATAAACAAAACAGAAGCTAAGCAAAGTTATGCTGTGAGAAAGAGCCACAGCATAACTTATTTTAGCCACCTGAAAAAACAAAAGCAGTGTAAGTGTACGCACTTTTTAGTATATGTTATCCCTTTTTGAGGGGAAACTGAATATCTATGCTGCCTTCAAAGACACTAAACTCCATTGACAAAAACTCTCATTGTACTTTGATCTGCTGCTGCTGCCTCTATCTGTCAGTTTGTGTGAGTCACTGTCTGTCTTTGGTTTTGGTTAATATCATGTTCAGCAATGTTCTCCATTTTCCTGACAATAACAGCCTCACAATAACACAAACAAACCTGCCGATCGAGACCAACATCTCCAGTGTTATGCAAATGAAAACTACGGTTTTTGTCAATGGAATCTGGTGGCTTCAAAGAGAGCTTAGAAATACTGTTTTCGAAAGGAGTGCAGAAGAACATTTCATATCTTTCGTGCTTTCACTCCTGTTCCTCCAAACTAGAGGCATGCCGACCATCATCTACTGTAGTGTAGGTAATAGGCTTACTATGAGTACTAATACAACCCCATTCAAACAGTCACAGCTACCACATTAAACCATTCCTCTGGGAAAAGGTTGCACCAAACAAAACTACTTTAAATGCCCATCAAATGGTCTGACATTAATGTTTTCAAATCACCCAAATGTACTTTAAAATACATGTGGTTTGATTTCTGTATCTGTTGTTTTATTTAGGAAGAAGAAGAGGAGATCAAACTGGAGATCAACATGTTGAAGAGTTATTCCCACCACAGAAACATCGCTACCTATTATGGAGCTTTCATTAAGAAAAGTCCTGCTGGACAGGACCACCAGCTCTGGGTTTGTAATGCTATTGAGTTTAAATAAAGAATACATTCATCTTACTGTTACCCTATTTGGTTTATTGTGAAATTAACACATTTTTCAGTTTAATTATGAATATACAATAAGATCTTTCTCATAATAATCACTGATGTTTGATGTAGTTGGTGATGGAGTACTGTGGAGCCGGCTCCGTCACAGATTTGGTGAAGAAGACCAAAGGGAACTGTCTGAAGGAGGACTGGATAGCTTACATCTGCAGAGAGGTGCTCAGGGTAAGGATGACATTCAAAACACACACACGCATACTGTATATACACACACACACACACACACACACACACACACACACACACACACACACACACACACACACACACACACACACACACACACACACACACACATATATAGACATATAGACACACTCACTGGAGCATACATATATATTCAATTGTTTAATGGGAATTCAAGCCTCTACATAATATCGACCATGCAAACATCTACATCCCAACTCTCCTTTGTGTGACAGAAATACAAAACAAACAATAATGAAAGTAAAAAATATTACTGAGAATATAAAGAGAAAATAATCATTAATGAAGCAAAAATAAACTACCAACAAAATAATAGATATTTAAAATAAAGTGTTAACGGCAATTCCAATAAATGTTGTTTCAGTTAAAGTTAAGTTATATTTCTTGAAGCTGATATTTTATCATAAAAATAAATGATATAATACAAAATCAATATATAAACAAATAATATAAATATAATACATATTATATAAATATATTGTCGTTTAATTTATAAATACATTATATAAAAAATAAATACATGTTATATTGTAAAATAAAGGTAGTTTATATGCCGTGCCTGTGAGTTGTTTTGTTGTGATTTTGCAACTTCAAATAAACCATCCCCTTATCAACCCAGCAGTTATGCATGAGGGAAGCTATACAGTCAGTTCTTGATAATGACTTGTATATTGCTAAAAGCCATTAAAAAAGCAACAATTTGGGCTCGACATGAGATTCAAGATCTCTTTGAACAATCCCGAAATCTCACCACCGAATACATTCACACTATATTACTGAACTTGTATAGCAAACCCAACAAGGGAACTTTGTTTCTGAGGTGTTGTTCCGGCTGTGGCCCTTTTTTTTAAGTGCTGGTAAAAACCGAGATAGTAATTAGCGCCTGGATGAGTTGCTGCCGATGTGAAAGAAACACGGTGCAACTTTTAGTGGTTGATCCTTTGCCAAAACATCAAAGAGAAGAAACTGACGGCCATACTTCTTCATGTCCGGGGAGCAGTATCTCTCCCATGTTTTCCCACTGTGACTCCGAGAGAATAACTGATTTTTTTTTCTTCTTTTGTATACTTAAAAGGCCAGTTTCAAACACATGTCTGTAAGATGTTATGGTTATCATTATGGGAGATCACAAGGTCCTGAGAAAGAATGTTTGCACTGCTTTGTGTGTTTGTGTGTTACACATACACAAACACATGCGTCTCCTTGATGCTTACACCAAGAACAGTTTGAAAGTTGATGATTTTTATTTGCCACTGTTTTACCTGCTGCTGTCAGACATGCTGCCCCTTTATTGTTTCAACATCCCCACACACACACACACACACACACACACACACACACACACACACACACACACACACACACACACACACACACACACACACACACACACACACACACACACACACACACACACACACACACACACACACACAGAGACACTCTGCAAAGCATGGTGAAGTCATTGTCCCTAATAAGACTCACTTCCTCTGTTTGTTTAACCTCCTTTGAAGAAGCGAGAGCACACACACAAACACACACACTTTGCCTCCGATTGGCTGCCTCGGCCACCTAAAGTTATTTCTCCTTGAAGGGAAAATAAATTATACTTTTTGTGCAGTATTCCTCCAAACGAACACATAATGCCTCTACTATTCTAAAGCTGTGTTTGCGACTTCATATTTGTAGCGATGGAGGTCATCTGACAGTGTGTGTTTCTGTGTGTGTATATTTGTCTTCCAGGGTCTTTCCCATCTTCACTCCCATCATGTGATTCACAGAGACATTAAGGGACAAAATGTTTTGCTCACGGAGAATGCCGAAGTCAAGCTGGGTATGACACATCGACACAAGCATCGCGGTTTCTCAAGCGAGTCCGCAAGCCTCCGGGCAAAAAACCGTCGAACAATCACACAGCCATTCATTCATACATGCATCAATCACACAACCGCAGCAACACCCCATGAAGAAGCAAAGATTGTGGTTGTTTTGAGTCGTGAAATTGTCCCACATTCTTTTCGTCTCAGTTGACTTTGGGGTGTCGGCCCAGCTGGATAAGACGATCGGGCGGAGGAACACCTTCATCGGAACTCCCTACTGGATGGCTCCGGAGGTCATCGCCTGCGACGAGAACCCTGACGCTGCCTATGACTACAGGGTACTTAATTAATCACTACAATTAGTGTTTCCCAGCCAACAGTAAGAACATTTCCATCATCTGTTAATGAAGACAGGAGTAACGCATCCAACAGGAAAATGGAGAACTTTCAAAAGTATCATAAAAACACATTTTCCTTTAGTAATAGCCAAAATGCAGACCATTTAGCTGTTGTCTTAAAGGGGACCTATCATGCAAAATGCACTTTTGTACGTCTTTTATACATGAATATGTGTCCCCGGTGTTCCAGAGAACTCACCAAGTGTCAGAAAACACAACCCTCTCTATTTTCCTCCATACCCAAATCTCTAAAAATGGGGCTGCAACGGATCTGATACAGACTGATCCAGATTTGAATTATTTTCTACGTAACAAAAGTGGTGCTCCGCTTAGTGGTCAATTCTCCACCTATCAGGGGAATGTGGGGTTGGGCCACGGCCGGCCATTGCCGCTCGAAAGCGCTGGAGACGCTGTAGTACATATGCCAGGCCTGTAACAGATGACAAACACCCACCTCTCCACCTCTTCCAAAGAACGAGGGGACCGTGCGGCAGAGTTTCAGTTAGATTTCTTTTCGCCGGTCAACATGTCCGTTAAAGTTTAAATCTTCCGGACAAAATTAGAAAAGTGCCGGTCAAAGGTCTTCTTTGTTATTTATTGAGCTTTAAAACAAATGAATAACGACTCTATATAATCATATATAAGAATAAAACACGGAGGACGGAGATCTCTTTTTCTCCCCCTCTTCTGACAGCCCAGCAGCTGATCTCAAAGCACGCTCCCCTCTCCTGCAGGGGGGCGTGGTCAGCTGCAGCTCACAGAATCAGACCCCTGCAAAAACAGGGCTGGAAAGAGCAAATAGAGCGAAATGAGGCATGGCTAAAATGCAGGATCTGTTTGGTATTTTGAAAAAAAAACTATATTTATATACTTTTATATAGGTATGGCCCTACAATATATTGTTCAAATATAGCATGATATGTCCCCTTTAAGGTAAAAACTAAGAAATAAATATATTTTAATGCAGGAATTAATCAGCCACATCCAGCAAAACATAATCCGAAGAGACAGCAGAAATTGGAAAAATCTGTTTCCATTAGAATGTCACTTAGCGAGTGTACCAAGGACAATGTTGCCTTCATTTGCTCCTAGATTGGTCCCATTTCCCGAGTTGATTGAATTCATGAGCAAATCATTTGTATTGTATGTTATTGCTTAGAGCATTTATTTTGTAACACTTTTGCATTTATATCTGTGAATTTGTCCTAGTCCCCATCTAAAGGTAACACTACATGAGTTGACACGCAGCACAGATGCCTTATATTGTAATGTTGACATGCATCGAGGTACAATATAGAGTCTTTCAGCTTTTGGTCTTGCTAAGAGCTCAACACATATTCCTCAAAACAGATTAAATACTACATTTTATTGAAAGAATTGTACTCAAAATTGTACCCAACATTTTGTATTTGAGATTAAGAGTGTAGTGCTGAACTATATTTGTGATCAAATGTTTTTGTCAATAGTCAATCTTGACCGGTAACTTCTTAACCATTACAGTCATGTGATGCAGAGAAGCTTTACTTATTTTACTTTAGCGTAAACAGTCTGCTGCCAAAAATGTAAACGCTCATTAAGTTTGCAGTACATACAGATACATAAGAATGCAACTTTTGAGCTTAAAAGACCCAGGTGATGATGTCCTGACGACCAGAGTCGTAATAATATTACTTTTGTCGGTAACGGAGTAGTGTAACGCGTTACTTTTATAATTCAGTAATCACACTACAGTTACTAACATTGCCCCGACACGCGTTACTTTCGTTACTTTTATAAAATCAGTCATAATCACACTGACAGACAAGAGGGGTTTCCGCCGCAGGTTTATATGTACGTAATCTGCGCGACTTGCACGTCCACATCTCCACGTGCAGTGCTGCATAAACATGGCAGAGTCAGCGATAACTTTCGAGGGGTGGAGGTATGCCCATTATTTTGAGTTCGTCCGAAGAATAGACAGGAATGTGACGGTGAGGTGCAAACTGTGTCCAGGCCAGAAGCTGTTATACACTGCTGCAAACACCACGTCAAACCTCAACAAACACCTGCAAAGAACACATGCTAAGGTGAAGCTAATAGCTAAGGACCCCCGAACCCAGAGTGAGGATGTTGTGAGTCGCCGCCGCCGACTCCGAAGCAGCACAAATTAGAATTTGGAGGACCGGTAACCAAAGCAGAGATGGACAGGCTTGTAGCATCCTTCATAGTAGAGGTAATGTTGCCCATTTGCACAGTGGAATCACCATCGCATCGTTCAGAGATATACTGCGCAAAATACAGATAGCAGGAGACAGAGGACAGCCATAGTCAGAGCTATCTGGATCAGTCTTATGCGACAATGGAAACTGAACTAAAGAGAACATTTGAAACTTTAGCAGTCTGCGTGATCTGCCTGTAGGGAGGGGCGAGTAAAGTAACGAGTAAAGTAACGAGTTACTTTATGTGGAGAGTAACGAAGTAGTGTAATATATTACTTTTTTTTTTTAAAGTAATATGTAATATATTACTTTTTTTTAGTAACGACCCCATCTCTGCTGACGACCCCCCCATGACAGCCTATCTACTGCTAAGGCCAACATCCAAGACTAAGGGGTGTTTAGGAGAAAACCATCATTCGATTTTAATTCTTAAATGCTTGTTGAATGCAATTTCGAATCTTTTTGGATCTGAACTTCCAAAGATGAGATGTTAAGCCTTTGTTTTATCAAACTAAATTGTTGTAATATAGTATAGTATAATAAAAGTTTATTTAAAAAAAGTGTTATGCGAAGCAAAAAGCATTTGTGATGCTCAAGTGATTAGACTGACTGTTGATATACAGTACAGGACATCATTGAAATGATCCACTTATTATTTCTGTCTCTAGTGAAATACCAGAAGTTTGGCTGGAAGTCTTGGAACTTGTTCCTGCAATTCCTGGATCTGTGCTCTCACGCTGTGCACAAACTGATTTACTGTTGGAATATGTAGAGGAAATCCAAAGTTTACAGGAAATGAACCGAGCTCGAGATTAGCTTTGTCTGTGCCCCAGTCCTAACCTTTTCCTGTCTCTCTTGTTCTCAGAGTGACCTCTGGTCTTTAGGCATCACTGCTCTGGAGATGGCTGAAGGAGCCCCTCGTGAGTTTAAGATACACCCACACATACACATTGTGAATTGATATGGTTGTACAGTTTGTGTTTCTGTATTTACATTTCCACTCAGGATTCATTTTCCCTTCCTTTAACTGTCCCTGTCTCTTTTTGTAGCTCTGTGCGACATGCATCCAATGAGAGCGCTGTTTCTGATACCACGAAACCCTCCACCCAAACTAAAATCAAAGAAATGGTAAGACGCATGGCTTAAACACACAGCAGGAAGTCGTGGGCAGTGTTTGGGTTTTGTCTTCGGAAAACAGGGCTTGAAAGTGGTCTTTGTTGTGGGTGTCATGCATCAAGACTATCAGACAAAAGATATCCTGAAACGTTCTTCAGACAAAAAAACTGAAAGCTCAAAGTCACCGACATGTCCCGAGGCCTGTACTACGAATCCAGTTCAACATACCCTGGATATGTTTGAGTTATCTGGCTTAACTAACCCAAAACAAACGCGATCTCGCTAAGCGGTCCTACGACGCTGGTTATCAACTCGTTAACTCAAGCCAGGGTTCCTCTGTCCGGCTGAGTGCGAGTTCACATGAAAGGGGCGGGGTTAGCAACATTTGACCAATCACAAACATGGAGAAGCGTACTGACAGCGCAGCGTCATACTTCCTGAATGAAAAGTGAACTATAATATTAGACAAATATGAAGAAGTTAAACTTTAAACATCCATGACTTAAACACTTTATCCAGGATAAAAGCCACATAGCTGCACCTGCAAGGTGAATACAGCTGCTAAAAGAAAAAGTGTTTGAATGCGTACATTAACAGGTTTATGATATCACTGCCCCGTCCAAGACACGAGTGGATCTGACTTTAATTACATTTGACTCGAGTGTTTCGTCAACTTAATGTGTTGCTTAAAATAATACTTCTGCATACAGTATGTGACACTGTGAGTGTTGCACGGCCAGATACGGCTCAAGAATCTGACTCAGATAAGGAAATATATGATACATTATGATGTGATATGATATGAATGATAATGGGACACATCGACGTCTGCACTCACAGTGCCGCGGACTGTACTTAATGTTACTCTGATCCGGTTACTTATGTTGTGGCAGATATTTAAGTAAGCTTTCTTAACGCTAATGTTATAATAGTCAGATTGCTCTGAACATGGGAGGTGATATTCTATTAATTTTCACGTTCACACAGTCGGTGATTTTTGCCGGCCGTCTTTCCTGCAACGGCAGTTTTTCTGTATTTCCTCTATCCTGTAATATGACTTGATAGCTTTAAACTCCGCTACCATGGAGATCTACCCCAGTAAGAAGAGAACCAGCGTCGTAGGATCGGAAACCCAGAGTTTTCCTTGAAGTTAGCTCGCTAAGCGAAAATCGGGCTTTGTAGTACAGGCCTCTAGCCTCAAGATAGAAATAACAACCTGTAATACATTTGACCTTTATTCAAATGGACAGGGATTTTACCATAGTTGCTACGCATCGGTTTAATGGCTAGGACTAAAGATTATTTTCGTGATATTTATTTATCATTTTCTAGAATAATAGTTTGGTCTTTAAAATGTCATTAAATCTTAGTTTCTCAGAGTCCAAAGGGAGGTTTTTGATGCTTTGTTTTGTCGGTGCAAAACACAAAGATATTACATTTAAAAACAGATACATTGATATACAAAATAGTTAGTGATTATGTTTCTGTTTTGACGAATTCTTGCATCTCTAGTCTCTTTATGGTCATTTTGTCTTTTTCTTTGTTTTGTTTCACTTTGTAGTTGTTTTTGTCTTTTTTCTATTTTCTATTTTGGTGTTTTAAAAAAAGAATCTTTTTGCATTTCTTTGTAGTAGTTTTGCATACAGTTGTTTTCATTTTCCATTTCTTTGTAGTCATTTTACTTCTCTTTGTTGTCATTGTGAGCCTCATCTCTGTTGTTGATTCAAATTTCTATTATATTCTCTTTGTGCATCTTGCAGTTTTTTTTTCCGTCTCTATGATCATCTCTCTCTTTCGGTTTAAAATATCTATTTTTTATAGTCACATTTTGTGGTTGAAGTCAAGGCTGGCTGACAGTATGGGCCCATGTGCCTGTGCCTGATAGGCCGTTCAGTTATCCATCCCTGCTTGTTGCTGTTATTTTAAATCTGAATCCAAGCTATAATGAACCCCCTCCATCTCTTTTACTCTCCTCTCTTCTTCTCCTCTCCTCTCTTCTTCTCCTCTCCTGTATTCCTGTCTCCTTCCTTTCCATTTATAATGGACAAGCTCTTCAGCTTGAACTGGTGGTTGAACTCATGCTGTCATTCATTCAGTATTAATGTCATCAGAACACTGGTTAGTAGGACAGCTTTTAATAGCAATGGTCTGCAGTGCTCCGACAAGCAGACCACAAACTAAGCATCAACACAAAATCCTTTTCCCCCTGTTTCGGTGTTCAGAGCACAGTTTGATAATAATGTGACAAGTGATTACTATCTTACAAGATCTGGGTGAGTTTAACCTAATATCTTAATGCGGTTTGTTTTAAAATATGTCTGATTAATGAACCTGCTGTTTTGTAATGGTTTGTTACATTTCCCTGTTTTAGACTTGACCTTATTCTCTCTTTTCATGTCATTTGAATGCATATTCATTTACACATTTCTTAGTTTCTTTCACTTTTTTGGTTTCTGACTGGGATACACTTTATTCACTTAATATTTGCTGCTTTAAAGTATTGTCCTCTTTATGATAATGTTATTAACAGATTATTTAAATGAAAGTAAGTTTAAAAAAACTAATTTGAATCTTTCAACAATCTCATGATAAGGATTCTAGTCAATACTACGCCTCAACCTATTTAATGTAGTACAGGTTTGGGTTTGTAGGTTACATGTGTTTCAGATTTCTGCTCCGTTAAGCCTCTTCCTACTTGTCAACTCAAGTGTATTTATAGATCACTTTAAGCTGGCCATTTTAACACAGACAGCTTTACAGAAAATCTGACCAAACAATGATGATTAAAAAGTGCAACTGAAAGTTAAAGTGCGCAGTTGAGAATAAATGAATTGGGATATTAACATTTCAATAACTGACGAAGACTGTGCAATGTGAAGGCTACCTGGAAGACTTTTCATCAAACATATAACCCATACATAGGATGCAGCTTAAAGTGTTTTAACAATATGGCACAAACACATGTGTTCATGATATATATGATAACATGGATGTAAAATAGGCAAGCTAATAAATAATAATCCAAAAGTGCACAACTGATTACCCACTCAGTATAAGTAAAACAGACATAAACAAAATTAATTAATACAATACAAATAATAAATAAATATGACAATATAAAAAAACTAAGAATAATTAAGACTGGAAGACCAATTATAGGGCGACTAATAACTAATAAAATGCTAATCTAAAATGTGTGTTCAGCTGTCCTTAAACATTTGGAAGGAGTTTGTCATGCTAACAATATTTGTCTTTTTCTCTCTTCCTCAGGTCGAAGCGTTTCTTGTCGTTTACCGATAGTTGTTTGGTGAAGAATCACCTGCAGCGGCCCAACACCGACACCCTGCTGAGACACGCTTTCATCCGGGATCTGGCCAACGAGAGACAAGTGCGCATCATGCTCAAAGATCACCTGGATAGAACCAGAAAGAAAAAAGAGAAAGGTGAGTCAAAATAGTTTAAGCATAACAGAGCTCTAAACAATGGATGGATAAAGAGAACTGGATACAGCGTTGGAGAGAGGGTACCGTTCATTCCTATAAAGTTGCTCAGTGGCCTTTGAAGCCAATTTGGCATGACTCTGGAGAGTGTAATACCATGTTTCGGCCTATAGAGCGTGGGCACTTGTTTTATCCTCAAGCCCCGCCTCCAATCTGCTCTGTCATAGCTGTTCTTGGCTCAGTCAAATGAGAGGAGAGAGAAAATAACTCTGGATTCGGGTTTTGGCGCATTATACAACTTTTAGGCCCTAATGATTCACATTTGGGCTATAAAATGGTTCTGGGTAGTTGATTTACCTTAAAACCAAAGTTTGGACACTTTTCGATTTCAAACGTTGAAGTTGTGGCAACAGCTGTGATTGCAGTTGTACTGTTGAACATGGCACTACAACAAAAAGTTATACTTGTGTTTTTTTTGTAGTATTTGAATAAACGTACCACTATTCACAATGCTAGTGTTGAAAAGAAGCCCCCGTTAATTCAAATGTGTTCATTGATCAGTCTGTAATGATTCGCTATCGGAGACAATAACGTTGCTAGCTAGCAACAACCACCACTTCTGGTGAGGTTACAGCCGCCAATTAATATTTGACGATTCTCTGATGAAATTCACACACTGGGCAAGTGTTCAGTGTGCGACATGCAGTGTGCTAAGAGTCAAATTGAGTCATAACATAATTGTAAAACAAAAACGCACAGGGATTGAGATAGTCGTCCTACATTGTTAGAATTATTTAGGTATGGAGAGCTGATAGCCAGAAAGTCGAGGGCCCTTTTATCAATTCTTTAGGTAACTAATGAAACCTTTTTCAAATAGGCCACTTCCCAGAATACATGTTCCATCATGTCCCCCCGTGTCCCTGCATTAGCTGTGTTCAGGCCACTTGTAGTGGAATAAGAAGTATGAACACACTTTAGCTCAGAGAGTGCACCAGCTGCACTAATGGGCCCAGCAGCTGCTTCTCACACTCACAGGCTGTTAAAACCTCTGCATTTCTGCTCATTCATAGCATGCTGTTTTTGGAAATATTTCATTTAGTTTCTAGTGTTAACCATCTTCTTTTGCATTGATGCAAACCCAACCTTTTTAACATCCAAAACTGTCTATTATTACTGCAATATACTGAAACCATAATTGTGGGTTTTTGTGCATGTAAATGGTCTGCAAAGGATATATTCCCTAAGTTCCCTCTAGAGGGAGTTTCTCTCCCACACACTCCCCCATGTATGACACGCCTCCATTGGACTCCTTTGTTTTCTTCTGTATCATAGTGACATCATTATGTTACACTTGCGCTTCTATTTGCTAGCACTCCAAACCGTACATTATACGTGATAGGCTAAGGGGCGGGACATCTCTAAGCGGTTGAGCAATCACAAAAGAGCCGGCCAGCTAACCAATCAGAGCAGACTGGGCTCTGGTTTCAGACAGAGGGTGAAAAGAGGTGCTGCAGCACAGGCAGTATGAGAAAAATTAAGAGCTTTTTGAACATTAAAGCATGGAGGCGGTTCACAGTAGAGACACACAATACAAATTAGATCCTGAAAATAAACATAATAGGGCCCCTTTAAGATAAATCTTCATCCATACATCTAATTAAATCGCTTCAAATGCTTTTCAGTGCAACTGGTTGGACAACTGGTTGCCTATTTGAACTTTACACCAGTTTTTGCCAGTTTTTTAATTGATTTGTATTCAGAGGAAGGGCGACAGTGAGACGGCCAGACAAAATGAGCGATGGAATGAAAGAAGATTGGAGCCAAAAGGCTGACAAAGAAAAAAGAAAGAAATTAAGAATAGGGACGGGGAGGGGTGGAGAATTGTATCCCCATCCTGCTCTACAAATAAATGAATTATACTCTGGATGATGAGCCGAATATGTGGCGGAAAGCAAACTGAGAGTCAGGGTAGGCGTTCTCATGTTGATGTTTAAAGAAGACATTTATTATTAGGGTTTATTCATCTCCATCTGGGGAGTGGTGAGAGACAGTGGTGACAACAGAAACAAAGAGAGAGAGAGAAGCTGAGAGGGGAAGGAAGGAGGAAACAGAATGACCATCTGGTTCTAATATTCTGTTAGCTTATAAAAACACACTAATGAGTGACTGACTGACTGTGTGTGTGTGTGGTGTGTGTGTGTGTGTGTGTGTGTGTGTGTGTGTGTGTGTGTGTGTGTGTGTGTGTGTGTGTGTGTGTGTGTGTGTGTGTGTGTGAAAAGCTGGTAGTCTAAGAACATGTGGGGAAAAATCTCTGCTGCTAAAAACATAAAAAAACAAACATTTCGCTGCGGATATGATGCAAAAAGGATGTGACATTTTTACCCAGGAGTGTAGTTTGGCCTTAGCTTGGTCTATGTTTTGGAAGATGATCCACAAAAAAACAGAGGCGGTCACTTCTCAGTCAGCAAAAGTAGGCATTAACCCTCAAATTGCTCTTCAGCGTGAGCCAAAACTTTGAAACATGACATCACTGCTGCAACAGAGTTTCCTCCCTTCATTGCAAAAGCAGAATTTATCCGTCTTCCTCCTTCTTTCTGGCTCAAAAATGCACCTTTTAGCGTGTTCATGGCAACACATGGCGCGTCGAGTTAATGTTCAAGTTAGCCTAGCTATTTTCACACCATATGTTGGCCAAATGTTGTTATGCTAAGCTGGCTGGCCCATCTCCCTGGCCTCTGGACAATAAGCCCCCTGGAACTGGCCTGTGCTGGGATTTACTGAAACCATTTTCCAATCTGCAATCCAAACTATTAGGTTTTATTTACACTTAAAAACAGTTGTACCTAAATAATAGCTCCATAGCAATGATGTGTGTGTACAGGGAGCGACGATAATTCACATGTGTTATTGGTCCCACGGTAGGAGGCGAAAAAGGAGAGAAAACTTCTTGAGTGACTGCATTTGAGTCTGAAATTAGATGATTCAGCAATGCTGTTGGTGTAACCACTCCGTCCCATATGTCTCCCACTAAACAAGACTCTCATTTACTTTGTTGTTGCCCAAGTTTGCCCACACTGTACTTTTGTGTGGCTTCGATAATGACAAAATTGCTACTGGCGGCAAACGATAAAGGAGCGAGACAGCAGGCATGGAGAAGTTTCCAATCAAACATTGGACACTTTAGTGAGCCAGAGAAGCAGAACTACAACATCAACACACCAGAGGCCTTAACGCCAGGCAGCACCCATAACCACTTCTTTTTGGATGAACACCAAGTGCTTAGTTTTATAGTAAAAAAGCTGCTTGGTTCATACGTTTTTTCCCCCAGTTGGCCTACTGAATTGTGAACCATTCAAAGCTTTCGTTTGTAAATAGTCACTCTGAGTGGCAGAGCACACTGGCAATAACTCGGAACGTTGTTAGAATGTACCGTTCAATTATTATTCATTAATATCGCACAGCATTCACCGGTGTGCATCGAATGTGGTCGTACAACATTTAGCTAGATAACTAAAATGTTCTTTAAATGCCACTATAAGCTACATACACAGCTATCATTTTTTTCAATAATATTTTTTTGATAGATGTGGGACGGGCCATGCCTGAAGGTTCCGTGATTTGAACCACGGCTTAGGCAGCTTAACCACATATGGGCCGCCAGCTCTAACCACTGAGCGATCCACCGGCCCATACTCTACACTTTCTAATTCATTTTCTTAAGCATATTGTTACAGGCTAAACAATGGCTTTATTGCTTCGGAACCTGAAAAACTGGTTTTCCTTGACCTGAACTGCGAACCGTAAAGATATCATTGGGCGTGTCATATTCTATGAGTTGGAAATGGATTTTGGCATGTAATAGTCGTCTCTGCTTCTTTTCATGAGTCGATATTTTCTTGGGTAGAAACAGAACCAAAGTTTGCAGGTAATCAATGCAATAGGTTTACTGCCGATGAGCACCATCGATTTGATTACAATCAATCTGCTAATAACTGGTCCAAAACCAGAGTTGTTTCGCTAGATACCAACAAAAGAGAATAGCCGGAAACAGAGCTAATTTGGTGGAAAAGTGGTTTCAGATACGTGACCAGAGTAAAGAGGGTCACATTCCACATTAGCATTCTCAAGAGTAAATCTATCAACCGATTAAAATATTTGAAAATAGAGTCATACATTCCCAGAGTCCAAGGAGAGGTCTTTAAATGTCTTGTTTTATCTGCCAAGTCTAATCCAAAGATCCTCAGTTTATAATAATATCAGAACAGAAACAATCAGAAAATCTTCAAATTGGAGAACATCTGGACAGAGAATGGATTTTATTTATAAAAAATGTCCTAAATATTTCATACATTATCCTAATAGTGGTCTGTTGTTTTTCAATTAATTTGAGCTCAAATTACATTCTCAAAAATATAAGAAAAAGGCAAGTCAGGTTTTATTTTAAATAGCACTTATCCACGATAAGAGTTTACATTTATTTACAAAAATGTAATAAAAAAAATGAAAGAGCCAAAAGAATATAATTAAAACAAGCCAATCATATTATTTAAAGGTATAAAATACAAGAATAACAGTGCTGAGTAAGATGTGGATAATTATTTAATTTAATAAAAACAGTGGCAAACAGAAGCCTTGATTTAAGAAAACATATGTATTATTATAAAACGGACAAGTAAAATCAAGCAATTTGATTGGTTCTTAGCCGTGGTATACTGAGCGTATACCACGGGTAGAATTGTAAGTTACTTTTCACAACAAGTCAGTATCCCTCCGCGTCTGAGATAAACAGTATACAGTTGGGCTGAAAAGCAAACTGCAGGCAGTTTGCTTTTCAAACTGGAACAAGAAAGCAGCGGAGAAGTAACGGGGCAGAAACCCTCCTTTTTACGCAACGGTCCAGACATAGACATCAAACGGCAAAACATATTCAGTGTGCAGTTCCTTTGGCATTAGGGCAGGGATATTTAGATACTTTCCAAGGTTTGACATAATGAATTGTGCTACTTTTAAAGCAAGCAACCATGTTTTCAAATCTGTAATCAAAAAGGTCCGCAAAAACATTTAAGATTAACTTCGACCTCCGGGGGGGGGGGGGTCTTACTATGGAGGAGTGGATTGAGGAGTGCCTATCTCCAGAACAAAAAGCACCTAAACGACGACATGTAGAGCTACGTGAAGAGCAGGTCGACCAACTGGAAAAGGATCACCATTCAAAAGCTTTCTGATGCGGGTCTTGAAACAAAGCAGAGAAATGATGACCGTTAGTGGCCACAGGTGTGAAAGCTCTCTCCAGAGCTACTGGAAGCCGAATCTCGGGGACCGGAGAAAGTGGAGCAATATTCTCGCCACGCAAAGCAACAGCCTAGAACAACCTCAGCCTATACAAGTAACCACGTAAGCCATGCTACTGATGCTGGACAGTTTTTCAGTGGGTGCACAATAAACGGCAACATACACATTAATGTAAATAAATAGCCAAATAATGGATCAACGCTCTCTGTCTAATATGTTCGCTAGTTGTTGTTAGTGTTGTTGCATAGCAACCACCTCGCACTATGTTTCGTGCAGAAGGCAACAGAGGGACTATTTTATTTTGAACATCATTATTTACTAATAAAAACTATTTAAATTAGAGTGTGTATTTTTCTTTCATATTGCCACACTTGGTAACCGTTTTATAAAAGCAATAGCTCACTTCAGGCCGTGATATATGCTCATTATATCACAGCTAAGGGGGTTGTCGACCCTCCGCTTCGCGTCGGGCCGAACCACGCCCCTTAGCTGTGATATAATGAGCATATACCACGGCCTGTCGTGAGCTATTGCTTAAATATACAACCCAAAAAAGGGGTTGTATATTAATACATCTTCATCTTATTTCTTTGCAAGGATTTGTTTCATTGTTTTGGTTTTAAAGACCCAATATTAACCAAACAAATGACTAATCTTCTTCTTTTCTCTCTCAGAGGGTCCAGAGTACGAGTACAGTGGCAGTGACGAAGACGATGAAGAGGTGACAGAGGAGGAAGGAGAACCCAGGTAAAAGCTTTTCAAACTGGATATGTGTTTTGTTGAAGAAATGAATCACAGGGTGAAGATTGTTTTCAATGCAACAAATATATAAAATTGCACATTCATCTGTATTATTCGCACATTTCTCTTCAATTTAACCTTTAAACTGCACTACCAGTCTGAATTCTGATATGAAAAGAGACATTTAAGAGTCATTTGCGATATTCTTATTGTAGTCATTGGTTAGGAGTTAGGGTTAGGCTTCTAACCATTTCTTTAGATTTTTTGTTTATTTATAAAAGTCTCAAAATGACTTTCATAAAGTTCTTTACCTGCTTATTTTTTACAATTTAATATCTTGTGTGTTATGTTTTCAACAATATACAGCTAAGCAAATTCCTTGTATGTGTAAACTGTCTTTGCAAAAATCCTGATTTTGATTCCAACATCAAGCATACGAAGTAAATGAATCAGGGTAAACATGCAAAAAGGGCTACACAATTGATTGACATTTTATAAAAAATGGCAATATCGATCAGTTCAAAATCTAAATTGCAATAAGCAAAATATTAGATAGAGGTAAAAATATCTGAATGAAATGTTGTGGTGCTGCAGAGAAGTCCCAGTCTACAAACAGTATTCAACTGGTGTGATAAAAATCCCGTTTTGGCACCAATCCTCTTTCAAAAATCCCACCATGACTACATAATATATATATATTAATAATAAATAAAACATGATATATTTTTCAGTGATAATGTGAATGATGTCGTCATAACAAAAAGTCTGTTAGTAATAGTAGTAAAGTACGGGATGTTATAAATGAGCATTCTCCTTAAAAAAAAAAAAACCATTACATTTTTTTTTCCAAATCGTGCAGCCCTACATGCAAATAATGTTCCAAAGACAAAATGTATTGTCACTATATCATTATCAGTGCTTATCGGTAGATGATGTAGTAATGAAGTCTCCTCACATGCAAAGCTAATGAATGGCTACAGGACATGTCCATGCATAGATGCAGTGTCCTCTCTCTCTTAGTGTCCCTGGACGTCAAACAGCAGATGGCACTAGGAACTGGTGTGTGTGTGTGTGTGTGTGTGTGTGTGTGTGTGTGTGTGTGTGTGTGTGTGTGTGTGTGTGTGTGTGTGTGTGTGTGTGTGTGTGTGTGTGTGTGTGTGTGTGTGTGTGTGTGTGTGTGTGTGTGTGTGTGTGTGTGTGTGTGTGTGTGTGTGTGTGTGTGTGTGTGTGTGTGTGTGTGTGTGTGTGTGTGTGTGTGTGTGTGTGTGTGTGTGTGTGTGTGTGTGTGTGTGTGTGTGTGTGTGTGTGTGTGTGTGTGTGTGTGTGTGTGTGTGTGTGTGTGTGTGTGTGTGTGTGTGTGTGTGTGTGTGTGTGTGTGTGTGTGTGTGTGTGTGTGTGTGTGTGTGTGTGTGTGTGTGTGTGTGTGTGTGTGATTTTGTTTGCCATCCGTTTTCTAGTGTACTTCATTACATAAGAGTGGCTGCCATTAACCACTAACAGTTTTCGTGCCTCTTTCCCTCTCTCAGCTCCATAGTGAACGTTCCCGGCGAGTGGACGTTGAGACGGGAGTTCCTCCGCTTACAGACGGAGGATCGTGACGGGGGCAGAGAGGGAGGCCAGGGGGGAGGCGGGGGGCAAAGACAACAGGTAAGTCTCCAGTTCATAACAACCGTCCACACATGAATTAATACTTGTGTAATATCTAGTCAATTATAGGGCTGTACTAATAACATTAACAATGTCTGCGTTCTTACTCTAAACTAACTTTTGACTGCTGTTAGGATTCTTTTTTATTTGCATGTGTATTCATTTTGTTGAAAACCAGTATTTTTTGCAAATGTAGTTTCCAGTGGCAGCTGTGTTGGAATGTTTTAGACTTACGATCCAAAGCTGTATTAAATTACTGAAGTAAAAAGGTGTTAAAGAATGACTTTCCTTTTTTTCATATTTCTCTATTATGTATAGACTATATGGATACAGCTAGAAAAATAAAATGAATATGTTGATATAAGGTGCTGAATCTAAAAAATACATGATATAATATGTTTTACGTAAGGCATCAATCAATTCTTTTAGATTTTAAGCTTTTCAAAAACAACTACAGTCAAAAAGACGTTTATGTCTTTTACTTTTATCCTTTCCGCACACAGAAAAATGCACCTACTTGTTTTATTGCGGGCAGTCAGACAAAATCTCCTTGTTTCCAACTACATAGGATGATTACATAATTATCTATGACAACAGAGATTCAAAGTTTCATTGGCAAACCTCTGTATAAGCTTTGAATTAAAAAAATGACTTTGTAGAGCACTAGTGAATCCAAATGTTGCTCATTTCAAACTAAACATAGCACACAGTGTTTAGTCCAGTGCATGTGTCTGTGTTATTGCATAATTATAATAATACATTGTTTCAAGATGCCAAATAGTCACTGGCTGTAGTTTCTCAATTGTTTGAATTTTCTGTTTATTTGTTTTTATGTTATTTATGACAGCAAATCTTTGTGTTGTGGCCATCAACCATGATATATACGTTTTGTTAATCAAAATGATACACTTAAAGGTGGGGTAGGTAAGTTTGAGAAACCGGCTCGAGATACACTTTTTGTTATATTCCATGGAATGCTCTTAACATCCCGATAGCAATGAATATCTTAAGTGCTTTGACAAAAAATCCATTAATAAATGTAATCTGTGGAAGCCGTAGTACTGTAAAAAGCACGACCAATCATTTTAGCCGGCCCGGCTAAAATAACTGGATGGCCTACCTGCCTGTCAGCCTTCCATCTGTGCACAAACTTATCTCGTGCCCTCATTGGTCATGTGCGCGTTCGTGTGTGTTGGAGGAGGGGCTCTATAAGGAAGTGGCAGTTTTTTTCCGGCTGTGTATTTTCAAATTCTAGCGATCTCGAGCCGGTTTCTCCAAAATGAACAGTTCTTCATTATTATTATTATTAGGAGTTGTATTAGTTGTAATAAACAAATACAGTGGGTTTTTGCTGTGTCTCAATTCCAAACTTAGTACACTGCTATGTCCAGCACTCTGAACACTTTTGTGTAGCATTGTCTTGAATCACAGGAACTGGCTTTTCGTTAGCTAGCTAGCAACATTATCATTTGCGGTACCAAATGAAAACAGACTTCTCAATTAACCAAATGTAATTTAACGATGTCTTCTTTTTGACAAGAGTATAGTGGTGGTATGTTTATTAAATATTGAGAAACACTTTGATACTAACACTGAGTGCACCATACAGACACAACATATTGCTATACTTAACATTGGGACACACTTAAAGGTGGGGTAGGTAATTTTGGAGAAACCAGCTCGAGTGCGCTAGAATTTGAAAATACACAGCCGGAAAAAATCTGCCACTTCCTTACAGAGCCCCTCCTCCAACACACACGAACGCGCACATGACCAATGAGGGCACGAGATAAGTTTGTGCACAGATGGAAGGCTGACAGGCAGGTAGGCCATCCAGTCATTTTAGCCAGGCCGGCTAAAATGATTGGTCGTGCTTTTTACAGTACTACGGCTTCCACAGATGACATTTTTTTATGGATTTTTTGTCAAAGCACTTAAAATATTCATTGCTATCGGGATGTTAAGAGCATTCCATGGAATATAACAAAAAGTGTATCTCGAGCCGGTTTCTCAAACTTACCTACCCCACCTTTAAGTTCCCTTTGTAAGTGTAAGTACAGAACAGTGCATATAGACACAGCTCATGTACCACAGTGTGATTTCAGCCCAGCACAGCCCAGTTCACTTTATATTCGAAACATTAAATTAAAAGTGTGAGCTATAATCAAGTGTTACTTCTGTTTCATTTTCCTAATTGTATTTGAATATTTGCTGCCCAGGCTCTGCAGCAGCACAGGCAGCAGCTGGAGGAGCAGGAGCGCTACAAGCAGCAGCTCCTGGCCGACCGGCAGAAGAGGATCCAGCAGCAGCACGAGCAGCGGCAGAAGTTAGAGGATGTAAGTGATGCTTATTCATATATTTTCTCCTGTGTGTACTTATCATACATAGGTCTGTACGAAGAAGATAAAACATTTCAGAGGAAAATTAGATTAGAAGAAATTCACCAGTTGTTTAATCGATCACGTCTGAACAAGAAGTGTGTCAGTTTCACTCTCCACCTGCTGAGTCACATCCTCACTCTGCCCACTAACTGCTCTCACAACACCTTCAAGATCTATAGAGTGTTGTACTTCTTTAGAAAGTCAGCAAAATTAATAGAAATAGAAATTACACCAAAAAAAAAATCGTTCTGTAGTTTTGGCTTGATTTACAGTGTATTAAGGCCTTTATAGTTTAAAACATACATAATGACATTTATCTTTATTCTCGAGTCGGAGGATGTGGCCGGTTTCTTTAGAGAAATGTTAGGTTTCGAGAATAAAGTTCTACATTTACAACATAAAAACGTGGATATTCTCTCAGATTAAAGTGGTAAATAAAGAGACAAAAATCACACATTTTGCATGGTGTTGTTTTTATTGTCAAGGGACAATTTTACCTCATTTTGAAATTTGGATAAACATCAAGTTTTATTTTCTCGCAAATCTATGACTTTGATCCCTAGTATGCCTGACTGTTGTTAATGTGTTATTTTTGTAAATACTGGTACAATTGGGCGTTTCCCAGCAACAGAGACGGCAGCTGGCAGACTGCGCCTTTCAGTGGGCGGAGCTTCAAGAGGTCTTGCTGGGAGAGGAGTCTGATCTCCAAGACAACAGAATCCTATTGGAGGAGAGAAACAGGAGGAGTGACAGGAGACAGGTAACTGTGTGTGTGTGTGTGTGTGTGTGTGTGTGTGTGTGTGTGTGTGTGTGTGTGTGTGTGTGTGTGTGGTGTGTGTGTGTGTGTGTGTGTGTGTGTGTGTGTGTGTGTGTGTGTGTGTGTGTGTGTGGTGTGTGTGTGTGTGTGTGTGTGTGTGTGTGTGGTGTGTGTGTGTGTGTGTGTGTGTGTGTGTGTGTGTGTGTGTGTGTGTGTGTGTGTGTGTGTGTGTGTGTGTGTGTGTGTGGGTGTGGTGTGTGTGTGTGTGGTGTGTGTGTGTGTGTGTGTGTGTGTGTGATGTGTGTGTGTGTGTGTGTGTGTGTGTGTGTGTGTGTGTGTGTGTGTCGTGTGTGTGTGTGTGTGTGTGTGTGTGTGTGTGTGTGTGTGTGTGTGTGTGTGTGTGTGTGTGTGTGTGTGTGTCATAATTGTAACTCAAGTGAACCTTTTGACCCGTTACCTCCCATCATAACACAAGGAACATGGGATTTCTTCTCAAATGATGATTTAACAGCACTTCTGTTTCCATAATTACTTGGAGATTGAATTTTCCGAAATCCTTTTGTTTTGCTTCTGATCTGCCGTTTCCTCTCTTAAGGTCTTTCATTTTGATCTAGTTGCTATTGAAATATATTTGACATTGTTAAAACTTAATTTATAACACCTTACAACTCTGTGGGAAATTAAATATCACCTTTTACTGTGAGAAAGTGTTACAAAGACTGTGTGAGGGTGAAGTGTCTTTGCCACTTCCAGTCATTTTAAAGTAAGATAGAGAGTCCTCTCTACTATATATGAAATCCCTTTTTTAATCGTTCATTTGAACATGTGCGTAATGAATCCCTCCCACACCCCAGTGGTTTTCAATAGGTGTATATTAACACCGAGGAGCAGGTTAGGAGCAGTGATTTCTTCATGCAGGAGACACTGTATTCCAATGCTATTAATATCTGTCTAGTTATATTACGTCTATTTGTGTGTGTGGCAGAGAGCTATCTGTATGTATTACATTCTAATTACACAGATCGCCTCTTAGTCATTAGGTTGGGCATGCTTAATGGATCTATCTGATGCTTCATTAAGTTTTAATGTATCTGCATTTAATTATGTGACAGGCCCATTGAGCATGTGATGTGATGTCTTGTATTTTGTCAGATGCAGAACTTGTCTTGGCGCAGCGGTTCCAATCATTTCACACATTGATTGATTGGGCATGCATTACATCATGTATTTCAGTGTTGTGTCGTTGGTTTAAAGGCCCGGATACATCAAACCACTTTAAAAGAAATAGTTGTGTCGCCTTTATGTTGCCTTTTCATGGCCACAAAGTTGCACTTGAACACACCACAAAGGCTACAGCTAAGACAGCAGGAGAACATAACCTTCAAGATGAAATAACTCTATAACAGCAGCGACAGTTGGTATTCGTCGATCAATGTTGTGTATTTTGCCGCCAGCTCGAGGGCGGATGTTGGAAGCGGCGAAAGTCATGAGAGTGCGGGACACGCCACTAAATAATTGCTGACAGGTGCTCTTTGACCTCTTCAACTTGACCAATGTCCGATAATCGCCCCGGTGTGTCAAAGCCGTAAAGCAACAAAATGTAGGATAAAGTGTTATTTAGTGCCCCTACAATTGTTAGAGTACAATTAAATTGTACACTGCAGTCGCAAATATAGACAGCTGGTAGGTTACACGTGTATTTGTAGTATTCCAGCTAATGTTACTAGACTGTAACCGGTACTGTTGCCCATCCATCAGGATTCCCTAGCCTCAAATACTCCCTCCTCCAACTGGTCTTAAGCTATGGTCTTAAGCTAGGTAAACACCAGATTCCCCCTCTGAGCCCAGTCCTGGTAGCGAGGCAAACTGAGCTAACGGCTAACTATAGAAGTTGATCCGTTAGCATTACTTTAGCTAGCTATAAGTAAAGCTTTTTGTCCAACAAGAAACTCCAAAAAGATGAGGGACTGAGGATTTCACAGAGAAAATCTGCAAATTATTTTCTATTCTATTCTATTTAAAATATTATTCGGTTTTACCAAAATGAACTTAGTGATGTTTGCCTTACTCCAACCATGTTTACAACTTTTCCCAAAAGTCTATACCTTCCTGTTGCTAATAGGTTTTGTGCCGTGCTTGGCTGAAATGTGTACATCTATCAGATGTACAAATGTCTTCGACATAGTTAATGTTCTGGCTGTAGTCTTTGTGGTGGGTTCAAGTGCACCTTTGTGGCCATGATAAGGCAACACAACAGGCGGCCCTGTTGTTACTAGTTTACAATCACTGCTAATAATTTCATGGAGTAACTTGTATCCCACATTTGAATGTAAAATGTCCCGTTTGGACTGTATTTTCAGGAAATATTCAAAAAGGAGGTCATAATGTAATATTTAGAGTGTAGGGCGTGGGCTAAAAGCTCCGTCCCATCTTGCACACTGAATATTTTAGTTCCCACCTCTCAGGATTCTGCTCAAGACCTTATATACCCCTAATTAAAGTGTGTGTGTGTGTGACAGTGTTTTGCCATTCTTGTGAACATACGTTACTTTTTGGACTGCACAAAAATGCAATAATGTCAAACGAGATAATTCGATTTTTTATTAAGGTGACATTTGTTGTGGTTTAAAAGAAGATCCAATGAAAGTAATACAACAAAACTTACAGACATCTCAACCAGTGTCTCTCTGTGTGTGTCCGGTGTGTGTGTGTGTGTGTGTGTCACAGGAGCAGGCAGGCAGACAGCGCAGTGCCGATGTGTCAGTCAGGCCTCTGGACTCCACCGCAGAGCAGGTAACTACCCTTCACTATTTATTTTTACTTACTACTTGTCATCAATTCTTCTATATTTCATATGAGGTGGGATTTATTTTTAAATATTCTGAAGGCGCGTTGCTTTTGGTAGTAACACACATTGAATAGGAGTCTGCATTGTGGGCGTGTGTGTGTGCACACCTTTCAGGTAGATGATGCCTCTTCCTTTCTTTCTTCCTCACTTCTTTTATCTGTCTTCTTGCTAATTTGATCTCTTTGTTTTCACATTTGTTTCTATCTTCTTGACCTTATTGATCATTCTTAATTTTCTTTTTTTTATGAGGTATCTTGGAAAGTTACTGCTTGTCTCTTTTTGTTCACTCTTTGATGACTCCCACGTCTTTGAATATTTCTGTTTTAATGACCATGTGTTCTTTCCATATTCATTCGGAATCCAAAATCAAAAAACTGCAAAAAGATGATTGCATTCGTTCATGAGAGGGAGAGTACATCTGGTTATTTGTTACATTTATCTTGATATTTAAGTTTGACCAGAAAATGCTTACTACTGATTTTGCTATCTGTATCCATAAACGGGGGAAACAATAAATTGTATCTTCTTATTCTGGATTACTAATTGAATTCGAAAAGAACAAATGAAACCGTGATTCTTCACAACCTTATCGTAAAGGGAAATATTTGAGGTCACTGCAATGGAGCAGGGAAGAACAAAAAAAGAGCAAACTATATTGTCTTCATATTTCACTGGTGTTGAAATGATGTATAAAACACAGTTAGTTTGAGTGGTGCTCTGGAAGCCTGACACCCTGCTGGGGCTGGGAAAGTTCATCATTTTGAAGTTCTCATCGGAGGAGGCGGTGAAAGATTGCTCCTTTTAATTCTCTGTTAGTGTGGAGCTTGAGAGGGACAACAGTGACAGAGTGTGTACTGTAGCAGCAGTGTCACATCTCCACGAGCTTTAAAGCCGGTGCTTATCACAGCATGCCGTCCCTTTTGTTTTAAAGCCTCCCCTCTTCATCTCTCTCTCTGCTTAGCGTACCTTCTCTCTCCTTCTCTCCCTTCTTCCCTCCCAGCATGTCATCTTTTTCACTTCTCACAACTCCCTTTTCACTCATCTCTCGGCTTTTCTTCTGTCTGATCTCAGGAGGGGTTATAGAGGCATCAAGACACTCTCACATCCCTAATTCCTTTCTTCTCTCCTGTCTGACCTTTCCCACCCTGATGTTGTTATGATGTTATATAATGATGACAGTTGTCCTGATGTTACTCCATAGTCTTTATATTCACAAAACTTCACAAAGACAAATGTATTTGTAACTTTTTTAATACATATCTTTTTTAAATGTCAGGGATTTATTTTCTGATATTTAGCTGTATCATTTTCATATCTTAAATGCAATAATTGTAATCAACCCCCGTAAGGTAACATAGATATTGTTTCTTCTTCGGTAGGTTTTGTCGCCATTTAGTGTGTTCTCTTATTTGATACTAACCCAGCAGATGGTTTTTCTACGTTTCCTATGCCAGCAACGCCATATTCTGCTGCCTCAATCGTCACCACATCATCAAATATTTGGAAATCGTCTATTGCCGTTTTAAATGGAGATGTGGAGGCTCTAACATTTGTATTAATACTGCTAACATTTTTACGTATAGAGGTTGTAGCCTTCGATATCAGTCATGCGAGCTGTAAATTACATAACTTAATGAAATAACTAAATATTCACCCATGTTTTTCTATTTTTGTCTCCGTCTTTCACTTTTTGTATTCTTAACGACTGTAAGTTACCAAATCATTTTTTATGAATTGGTCATTTCAACAGACCCGGCGCCAGAACAAATCTACAGAGAGGGCATATGATTTTCATGGGAGGGCACACAAAACCGTCATGTGGCGGCGCCAGAGATTTTCTTTTGGGGGTGCTGTGGGGTAGCTTGACGTTTCATAGAGGCTGCTCAAACATGTAGGGTTTCCCATTGATGTACCGGCGCTACAGTGGAATGTTCTACTGCAACACTCCCCACACGCACACACACACACACACACACAGTACTCTCAACACCATATGAAACAGAACTGTAAACAGATGTACTATTTCTTTATGGATATTTTACAAATCATTGTATTCTTGTTTTACTGTCATATAGTATTTCATATCTGTTTTTCATTTATTACTCTAATATTACTATCTGACACCACATACATCGTAGCATTAAAGTTCACAGTTTTAATTTTTATAAATAATAAAAAACGTGTTTATTGGGGGAGGGCAGGAATGTCAAATGGGAGGGCCTCCCACGGAGCCGGGTCTGCATTTCAATGGTACATTGCTGATAGAACTATGAAGTGATTTATATTATAGTCTCAGGGCAGTGGTACTGCTGCTTTTAGTTAAATGTGTCTCTCAAGAAACAGCCTTAAATGGCTGCTGGTTTCCCCTCTATAGTAGCAGTCACATGAATGTTAGCTCATTTACTCCTCATGTTGCACCACGGTCAGGCCTCAAGCCTCCAGGAAGTGCGATGGGCATTAAAGAAAAAATATGTGTAGTGGCCAAACCATTGTTTTGCATCGTCTGTGTCAGTCACATGATGTCATTCGGCCGATAACATATTTTTTCCAGTCTTTTAACTATAGTACAAATAATTGCATATCCTGGTTTTAAATCATTAGGTCCTAAACGTTTGTAAATGCGTTATTAACCTTATATAGTTATTGTCCCTCCTGTCCTGAACCCTGAAAATAGTTAGCATTTTACTTTACTTCTAGGCTCCCTTGTTTCATAAGTGTTACATACGATCTGTGGTTAATACAAGCTTACAAAATGTTCACGTCTTTACGAATGTCCGTCTGTACATACCCCACTCGTTGATGTCTGAAGCTTCTACTTAAAAACGGTGGTTGCCAACAAGCGACTAAATGAGACTACTTCACGTCAAACATCAGCTGCCTTCAGCTTAGCGGTGTTGATGTGAAGTCAAACAACCTTCATCTAGGTCATTTGTAGTCTAGCATTAGCTATTTACTTTCGGCGATTAAAATGATGCTTCTACTTTCATAAAATGTGTTAATGTGTGGAGATCATCCTGCTGAACAAGACATGTTGAGTATCGTTAATGTGTGCTGCCACAGAGCTTTGTGTGCCATATTTCAAAATCGATGGAAAAACCCCATTGGATTTAGTTGAGAATGCTAATATCCGGTTCAGCTTCCTATAATGCGTCATCACTGCACCCCTCTAAAGGCCCGATGGATGCAGAAGATCCAGGGATGATCTGGGCATTTTCGTTCTCGAGAGTCAGGTTATTTTGGCTTTGTGCGACAATGAACAACTTTCATAGTAATGAACAGGCCCCCACCTCCAACGCTGTTTCCAGTTCTCTTTACACATCTATCGTGATAGGAGGACAGAACCGAAAACAAGTGTATCTCTACGTGTAGAGGAACTGAATGGCTTGCTAAAAGTTTCTTTCAGGGTATATATAGAAGATATGAGGAATTGGTGTGATTCTCTGTAAACTTTCTGTAAGAGTGAAAGTGTGTGTATGTTAGGGCCGCGTCATTTTCTGTTTGAGCGACGACATTAGGATGTGTGCATAGTTTTCGAGGGCAGACTAAGGTTTCTTTAGACCAATAGAATTTTGGGTGAATGTTCCTGTATGTCAATATGTATCACAGAAAACGTCGTCCAGCCATAGTGCATACATACTGTAAAGTTTGCCTCTGTTGCTTTACTATAAAATACACTGAAGTACTGTAGTGTTTTTTTGCTGTTTTTTTTAAACAAAAAGATTGGATTGCTGAGTGACTATATTTTCACTTCGCTATTTAGATAGTCGCAGCTCAGTATAGTTGCTGATTTGCACAAACGTAGAATGCATTTTCGAATCAAACATCTATGAAAAGTCTGTCTTCCTTTTTATTTATTTTGTAAAGTTCCCCTCCTGGAAATATAAACTGGTTCTTGGTTCTTCAGCTGTAAGCCTGCAGACAGGCAGAGCTGTCGGATGACGGCAGTGGTTCTTTATTTGAGCTTTGATTGTGTTTCCTCACGAGAAAGTTTATTTTGCAAATCAGATTCACCACCAGAGACCCAGATGCTGTCTTGTGTCCGCGCTTCATTGCCAGCGCTACGCTGATTGCTACTTCATGAATGTTTTCCAATCAATCAATGTGCTTCTCTGAATGTGTGTCACAACTAGCTTGATGATACACTGTTTGTTTATGAGTTCCTCATGTTTGTCTTGTCAGATTCTACGGAACCTGGGAGTGTTGAAAGCTGCAGAACATTTTTATATACAATTTAAAACAGTTTTTGTGAAATTTGAATAACTTGATATGACGAGTAATTTGATAACAGTAACAGGATTTTCTACCGTATGAGTTTGCACGCTATTTGAGAATTTTGTCGTTCAACAAACAATATGGAAAATGTCATTAAATCGGCTTTAAATCTGTCTGAGACAAGTTTTATGATAGGGCATGTGTTTTCAATTTGTTTATGTAGAACAACTGTAGCTAATAATAAAAGTGATTTCAGAGAAACGGTAAAGAAACAAATGAGGAAAACAATTCTATCCCAATCAATGTTGTTAACCTTAAAAACAGGATGAAAAGTAATAACATGTTGCCAGGATAATAGTTTAAGGTTCCATTTAAAAAAAATCATCTTTGAAATGGATGGGGTAAACATTTTCTAAATGTTTTCTTTTTCATTTCATTTCAAACCTTTATTTATCCAGGTTGTATCCCATTGAGATCATTGATCTCTTTTTCAAGGGAGACCTGCTCACGTAGGTTCCACATGAAACATTAAAAACATAAACAGAACAACAAAAGGACATCATACAGTAGCATTACAGGGATTACAATTTACATAACTATCCACATGCACAGGTACCAACAGCTTCCAATTCAGTAGCATCCAACCGAGCTTTAAAAACATTTAGTGGCAACAGATTGCTCAGTTTCCATTTTAATTGCAGACTATTCCAGGACAGTGGAGCTGCGCATCTAAATGCTATTTTCCCTAAGACAGTCCTAGCAGTTGGCACATTTAATAAAACCACAGCATGCGATCTCAGGCAGTAGCCACTTACAATTCGCCGTGAGATCAGGGAGCAGATGTAGGATGGAAGTTTCCCTAACATGGCTTTGTATATAAAAATGTACCAGTGACTGAGCCTCCGTGCAGTTAGTGAAGGCAGACCAGCCTTTTCTTTGAATAAGTGACATTAATGTTACAAAACTGGCTAACATACAATATATATGTAGAGAAATAAATCTCACCTCGAAGACGAGGTACATTAAGTGTAAAGGGCATTCCTTGCTATATGAAGCCCTATTTTAAAGGCAGATCTTCAATTTAAACGACAATCTTCATAGTACAGTATACATGTAAATGATTCCATGCAGACACTCCCAGGCTTTGTCAGTATCTATATGTGCTTTTCATGTTTGCTACCTAGAGAGCCGTGGCTCCAAAGCAGCTGCTTCAGCATAAGGCCCCGCTCCAGCTCCAGCTCCAGCCGCAGGCCAAGCCCCAGCCGCCTGCGGCCCAGCATCAGCAGCCCTCAGCCGGCAGGAGGTCCCACCGCACGCTGCCCAAGGACCAGACCCAGCTCCTGTCTCTGCAGCACGACCACAGACACAGGGAGAGAGAGAGGCAGAGGCAGAGAGAGAAGCCTGGGGCCGCGGTTCAGAAGCTGACGGCTAACAGTGGGAGCACAGCTGCTGCTGCTGTGGCTGCCTCCGCGCCCAGCCGCCCCGCAAACAGCCAGCGCTCCGCGGTAAAACCCTGCCTCCCTCCGCTGTCGAGCACTTTTAATCACCTCTACATCCCATGTCTGTCAGTCTGCATCTCTGTGTCTCGCTTTCATTGAATTGGATGGCTTTTTACTTTAATTTTGTCCATGTTTCTATTTGTTTTACCTTCGTTTCTTACAATGGTGTATGAGGTCCAATGAGGTAAAAAAATGTATATATTTATTGGCCTTTGGAAGAGAGGTGATATTTATAGAAAAACTCCAAGATAAAGTTTGTTAATTTACAAGAATATCTTTGGGATATTCTTTGAGTTTAAAGTTGTACATTTACAGGGGAAAAAATACACAAAATAGTCACAGTCACATCACTTTGATTACATTTATCACACCACAGTAAACAGGAAATGCATCATGCACACATGAAGGTGGTGCAACATGAACATATCCTTCATCTGTCCATTGTGTTTTTATACTTACATTGGCCCTCACACGCCGTCATAGTTTTGTCCCTTCTTCCCTTCTTCCAATCCTGTTTCCTTTTTTTTTTCATCACGTTGCGTATATGTTAGTAGACTGGCCACTTTCACGTAAGTTCACAAAGGTCTGCAGAAAGTTTGCCAAATGTTACACAGAATGGTAATGTGGTTCACAGTTCAGACCAAAACATGTAGAAAGAACTGAAGGAAGACCCCGTGGGATTTTTTTATATCTTATGTGCCAGAACTCTTGGAACGGAATTGAAAGTATTCGGGTCTTGCCATTAAGACATGATTTGATCAGCCACAAGTATTTTTTTCTTATGTATTTGCATGCTGGCATTTGCTGTTTGTGTAGAGGACAACATGTGGTTTATACCTGGCAGCTTATAGAGGATAAACCACATGAGGAACTGGAACAGGAAGCACAGCAAAGGTGGCAATTCTAGAGAAGGACTTTTTTTTAAAGCAGCTGGGGGTCAAATGGCTGACTAAAGAAAGAAAGTAGGTTTTATGTATTCAACAGATGCCTGATTTGCAATTAACCTAGAGTACATCTCGTGTTGACAAGTTCAAAGAAAAAGCAACACTGAGCTGTTTGTTTGGTTATGTGATAGTAGTTCCTTTTATATCAGGGCTAGTTTTTACATTACATTTCTTAAGAATGTCGCTAAACTTCAAAGTAAGCTTTGTATAAAGTAGTTTAAAGTCACTTTTTAAGATGATTTTAAGTGTGAAACTGAAGTGCTGAACTCCAGTTTTTCGAAGTGTAGACTGCAATCATGTGTAGCCACAATGCTCTCCCTAAAACACTAAATCAGCCAATAGGAGGCCTCCAAAGTGATGTGTCAAGACTGCTCCACATCAATCATCACCATTTATCATCCTTATTCTGTCCCACATTATACATGCTATATATATTGTGTAAAATGCTTTTATGTGGGTAAGACAGTTAGGATTGTACTTGGTGTGAGAAAAATATATGTTGATCTCAGTGTGACTACCTAATAAAATAGTCAGTTTTAATATGACTATTTACACACACAAACACACACGTGTCATACATGTGTTTTATGTTTTTAGATGGACTTCCAGGAATCAAACTTAGCCAGGCTGCTCTTAGCTGCTGGTCTCCCCAGCCAGGTGCAGTCCAGGCTGGGCTCAGGGAGCAGCTCCAGTCCCTGTACTCCAGCCATGCAGAGGGCTCACCTCAACCAGGTATACACAATAAAAACATATTCCACATGTGTTGTATTCACATGTCCTCTGCTCTATTCTATCTAATCTATACCTTGCTATTCAACTCTTGACTAATATACCTTTTATATACATGACCTGAAATGATATTACCGTTCGACAATACTACAGACAAGTATTTGGTTTTGTTCACACCCAATGCAGAGCAAATGTAGTTGACTGCGGGTTGATTTAAATTAACTGGCATTATTATGCGCACCTGAAATAATTAGCTTTTCTGCAGTGGTGTGAATTAGAAATGACCTGATTTTGTGATTGAATCACAATAAACTGAACTAAAGGATGAAAACATTTCCTCAAGAGAATCTCAAGAACTGATGCAAAATAGTGTTCACCTAAGTTCTCATTAGAGTCTTACATTTCTAAATTGCGCAAATATAGAAGTATGCAGATTTGGCGTATTTGCATCAATTGTGTTGGCTAATTTGCTTTTTGTGTGTTAGCAATGAATGTACTGTACTGTAATGGTTGTAAACCCACTTTGGGGACATTTTACTTTGCGACCAAACTGTTGAATAACTACAATTACAGTAACAAAAAACCTTGGGTAATCCTTTTTCTCTTTCCCCAGAATGCCAATTTGCGCTCAAGTCGAGACGCTCCTCACAGCAGCTCCATGTCAGATATGGCCATCTCCCCGTTGTCCCCGTTTTCCCCTGTGTCTCCAACTGACGACGTCTTCTGGGACTTTAGAGTGCCACCTAAGGTGAGCATCGACCATCCTATTAGCTTCATGTCACATGGCAGCAGGTTGGACGACTTGCATAAACTAAAATGAAAGTAAACTTGCAGAAAGAGGAAGTTGTTGTGATAGTCATGCCAGGCACATGTAGCCTGCATCACAAGAGTTTGGCATAATATCCTGAATTCTGGCTATACTGCATTGACGAAGTGGTGTGCCTAGCACGAGGTTGGAACACTGTGGGTGATTTTGGGAGAGAATTGGTTGTGATTTACCTTCGAGAAACACTTTCGCTATTTTGAAGTGGGGTTTTATCAGGTACTTATCCATGGTAATTGTTTAGAATGTTGCAGGAAGAAGTCCTAAATCCTGATACGAGTTAACATTTAAGCGTTTTTGGTCAGATTTCCTGAAATAAGGTCTGCGGTTACCACAGGCATATAAAAAACCGTTTTGTTCCATAAAATAAAATAGTTCAGTAAATACCCCACTAGTTAATGTTTGTCTGTAAAACAGTGGTTGCTATCAAGTGGCGTAATGAGACTACTATACGTCATCACTCCGAACATTAGCTGTTTTAGCTTAGCGTTGTCATGTGACTGGGTGTTTCTCAATGTCGAGGAAGGCTCCTCCAGAGCCACTATTTCAAGGATGCTACGTCATCGAATCCCGCCGAAGGACTTTTCCAATGTCCAGGATCCTTGGAATTCTACCGAGGACTGAATCCTTCGTTACGAGAAATTTTGGGGATGCAGCACCGGTGTATCCTCCGCGGTCTTAAAATCCCCACAATGCTTTGCGCACGGACCTATTTCCAAAATTGTTGGCGGAAAATGTAAGGTGGGCCTCTCGTATGACGCACACCTGCACACTTGCTACTGTAGCCTGTTCCATTCTTCGTTCTCCGAATGCCAGGAAGGATTCTTGCCTAGCTTCTGAAGGACCTGACTCGGAAGACATGTCCTACCAAGGAAGCGTCCTCGACATTGAGAAACACCCAGAGATGTAGTTTGTTTATAGCTTAACATTAGCTATTTACTATTGGTGATTGCATTTATATTTAAAAATCACAGTCTGTCAGGTGGTGTTGTATGTGTAGATTAACCTGCTGAACAAAACGTGTTAAGATTCATAAACGTGTGTTTGCAACCGATCTTATTTTCTGAATAGATCATAATCCAATGGTAAATCCCCACTGCTTTTTGTCAGGGGAGCCCTTGCAATGCTAACTTCTGCATCAGCTAACAAAAATACGTCATCACTGCAATACCCTATTGCCTAGGTGATAGACAGTACGCCCCCTTTAAAAAAAATCCGACCTCTCGCTTTAAGGCTAATCATAAAGCGCTTTTAATTAAAAACATGACTATGATTTGAAAAAGTCTCTCTGTTGCTTTCTATCTCACGTCACTAGCCCCCTGCTGTGTGTTTTATGAACAGAAGACGCTATGAGGTGTATTTACTAACAGAACACCATATGGAGTTGATAAAACAACTAATAACTACTCCAGAGAGAGGAGGGGAGCCCAATAAAGCTGTCTGTTCGCTATGTCATGTTGGTGAATAACAGGCGGCCATATGGAGTCGGTAGAGCCGTTAATAACTCTGTGCTCTCTAATGTGACTGCAGAGTGGTGGCTGCTTACCATGTGGGTGAGGATTTAAATCAGTTAACTTTCAGGGACCTACACTAGAATAGGGTTTCACAGGAATGTGCTGCACCAAATTTGGGCATGTATTGATTTTTACAATAATTCAGATCATTTTACAGCAGCTATAGTCTAAAGTTCAATAGCATTTTAATAAAAGTATTTCTGAAATTCTGAAATTGAAGAGTAAATGTATGAGGAATAATAATTAAAAAAATTATCTTTATCTACTTAGTACCATCCAATGTGTATACACAGTATGCTCCTGTAGTATTCTGGACATTTTCTATATCATATTTTCTATTGTTTATATTTGATATAATATTTTTATTTTTATTTTTATTTTTAATTGTTATTTTCTCTATTCCACTATTTAAGTATTTGTATTTTATTGTCCAAACACACTGCTGCTTTTATTACGAAATAATTTCCCAAAATGGGATCAATAAAGTTTACAAATATATCTATCTATCTATCTATCTAGTGCTTTCACATAAAAACAGAACACATTTAAGACACACAGAGAATAAAATGAGAATAAAAACAAAAAAACAGCAACTTACCACAGACAGTTAAACATACTAAAGTTATTAAAACAACAGTGCAAAAGTTCATACCTTCCGATTCCTTTACAGAAATGAACGTTATTTGTCTGAGTTTATTTCTCTTAAAATTGCAATTTATTTAAAAACTAAATCTGATTCTGAAATATTTCCAACTATATTTCTTTGACCAAAATATAAAGATATTCTCAACCTTTCTCTTGTAAATGAACACATTTGATCTAATTTGAATAACATGTTGCGCCACAGGCAGCTGACACCGAGTGTGTGACTGTGCGTGTGCGTTCAGATGAAGACAGATGCAGGATGTGGGCAACTCGTCAGAAGGATGATAGGTATTCCCACAGTTGACTTCCTGCTCGGCTGGGTGTGTCTTCCTCTCTGTAACTAGGTCATGTGACCCCAGGAGATGAAAGGTCAAAAAGTCACCAGCTGGTTGGTACCATTGAGAGTTTTAGAAGAAAGAAATGTTGAAAGATCCCATTTGAAACGCAGTGCTTTCCCAACCAGAATGATCGTTCATCTATTTCACAATCTTCTCGTGTCATGAATGCAACACTGTTGAAAAATGGTTAGGAAATATGCCTGAGTCAGATAATATTTCCAATCCCTATGTGAGATTTGGACATGGCTTTTGGGAATTTAAACAGTGAAATGTGAAGAAATAGCAAAGCCAAATGCTCTCATTAGATTCTCAGTAATAAATATCTCCCGTTGAGTTGTTAAAGATTTTACTGCACTTTGGAGTCTAAACCCTTTCAGGCACTTTTAGAAGTTGTTGTACATAAAGATTTCATAACCGCAGAAACCTTCCTATAATTAGCTGAAACCCTGCCTGGCTAGACATTAGATCCTCGTAAAGAGCAAACTAATGAAAAGCGAAACAAGCAGTCAGGGCCAGCAGGAGGCGGCCATCTTTGTGCTTTCACTAGCTGTCTGTCAAGTGACTACGATTAATGAATTCTCCTGTGTGTGTGTTCCAGGTCCCAGAACGCACTACCTCCAAGTTCTACTGTCGCGAGCTGGTGATGGGACACAAGAGGGCAGCTTCAAGGTACTGTACAACTACAACGTGTACAGCAAGCTCAAAGAGAAATGTGTCATTTATGAAGGTTGACATGTTTTATTAGTACATACATTATGAAATATTGTCAATATGTCATAAGCTTTAGAAGTTTAAAATTAGTATTTTATTTTGACAGAAGTTATCATCCGACTGCGTAGTTCAAAATAACTGTTTTAGTGTATCTCTGGTCATTGTTTGGTTTCTATCTATTTTTGTCAGGATTATTATATGCTTCTTACAGTTCAGTGATAACATGCTATAAATGTCACTACATGTCTGATGTGTAAAGAGGCCACTGGTTGCTAACATGTTGACGTAATACAATGTTAATGTAAATGTTCCATTTACACCAAATGGCACAAAATATCAACTAGCCATTCATTTTTTATCCTATAACACTCTTGAGCCCTCACCTCAGGTATATGTGATTCAAATGCAATGTGTCAAACAATCTAGTCAAAATCATGACAAACTAGAGGAACAATGACATACTTACCAGATGTTGATGTTTAAAGGGACCCTATTTTGCTCATTTTCAGGTTCATATTTGTATCTTTTGCCTCTACTGGGACATGTCTCCATGCTTTAATGTTCAAAAAGCTCTTTATTTTGGTCAAACTGCCTGTGCTGCAGCACCTCTTTTCACCCTCTGTCTGAAACCAGGGCCCAGTCTGCTCTGATTGGTTAGCTTGGTCAACTGCTTAGTGATCACGTGTTGGGGAATTGTAGCCTTTGCAGACCATTTACATGCACAAAAACCTATGTAACACACTGCAGGAAAGAGAAAACCCCAAAAATACCTAAAAAGCCACACTGTCCTCCTACATTAAAATCCTCTACCAGCTGATTTGTTTTAAAGATATTACGTCATCCATCTCACATTGAGTGTTTTATATACTTACCTAAAAGAGTTGGTTATAAAAGTGAGGTGTGATTAACTTTGGGAATACCCACAAACTAGTTTAGCTATAAGTATCAGCTGACAAGCAAACAAGTGGACAATTCTCAGAGAACAAATACACAATGCTGCTATTTGTCCTGTTAAACCCCATGGACCCGCCGAAGGGTCCGAAAATGCTACATCTGCTAGCACCAGTGTGATCTCTGAAGTGTCATTTATGAAACTATTAATGTTCCACACCCAGCTGACGGGAAGAAACTCAGCTCACTGACTATACAAAAAAAAATAAAAAAATAATAATAATAATTCCCACAAGAAGCCTTTCAATGAGCCCTTAGCAAATACGGACTAATGCTATTTCTGCTCATAACTCACAAAAATGATCATTTATAATGATACTTTCTGCACAAACAACACATCATCTGAAAGCTGAGATTCCACAGATTCCATTGGCATAGGTCTCATCACTGCAAGGCCAGAACTCACTGAGCTAGCAGCCAGAACATAGCAAATAAACAACATCAGTTTTCAAATCCATGACAATAATTAGCAGGTTAAATTTTACAATAATTTCTTCTTTTTTTTTTTTTCTTTTTTTTTGATGGAATGAATAACTATAGTGATGATTTAATGTTATACAATGATTTTTACAGTCTGGTACCTGAAAAAGGTCAAATGGCACTGATGGAACCAGATGTGCCCAAATGTGCCCAAAGCTTATTCCGCCTGGACTTTTTTTCCCTAAATATCTCTAAAAAGGTCAATTTTCACTTGTTTTGCCTCAATCTTGATACAGGGTACTTATTATATGTTATAGTTTGGATTCCTAAAGCTTTTAGGCTACTAACCCATCATTCAAGGGTGGTTTTCACTATAAGTAATGGTTTTTTGTTAGGCGGAGATAAGAATTTACACTTTTTTACTATGTTCCATCTGAATTTACTCTCACAAAGAAACATCTATATTGATTCTGACACGTTTACATCCATCTCACAGATGTAACCTTGCTTTGAGAAAAAAGATTATTAATTTAACCCTTTTAGAAGTGAAGTTATAGTCATTTGTTCTGGGCATGTCATTTTCGAGCCTGAAACCTGAAAAACAGGCTTGGGGTCTAACAGGTTTAAATAAGAAACAAAACAAGGATTTGTCTTAAATAGGAAGTGAATAATAAAAAGTATTTGTAATCTTCGGTTTTGTGACCATGCTTTGAGCAGGGTGATTCTTCCCAAACACAGTTCTCTTTTCAGCTATACTGAGCTTTATTTACTGTGAGGATTTATATCACACTACAATTCAGCATAATGGCATGCACTACTGGAGAACAATCTGTCACGGGTGCATCACATTAGTTTAGCTTGAAGGATTATTTTCGATTAGATGAAACTAATGGTGAGGAAATTGGGTCATTGCAGTGGCAGCATGAAGGGTAAACTGAAGATTAGAAACATATAATAAAGTGTATAATGTAGATCTCTGTTCACTCAACGTGTGTGTGTGTGTGTGTGTGTGTGTGTGTCTCTCTTTCTCCATCTAGTGGCAGTCCAGTGTCTGTGGCAGATAAACGCTCAGTGTCTCAGGGAGCCCCCCCGACTGGCAGCAACCACCCAGGTGTGTTCAACCTTCACTCAGCACATACTGTGTGAGCAATACAAATACAGCTTTATTAGCTCCTTGAAATGAAATGGGTAGTTTTGTTATCCCTCATGCAGTCATAGCTTGTTTTAATCAGAATACTTCATTTATCCCGGGGGGAAATTGGGTTTGGTGACAGTGACTCCATTTTAGAACAAATTAATAATAAATACATAAAACAATAGAATAAATGATAAAAAGTTCAAATTTGTGCATTAAATCAATAAAATTTAAAATTCACATAAAACGTAAAAAAATGCCCAATAAAACATAATAAGCTAAGTTAAAGCAAGAACATGCAACAAAAAGAGAAAATAGAAAATAAATAATTGAATACACATGAAAAGTAAAATGACAAAAAATGAATACAAATATTTTTACAAACACAAGAAGTTAAGTTAAATTTGTGCAATAACAATTACCTCAAAACACGATGGGCAGAATGTTAGCATATTGGATGGACATGCTCCGGGTCCATGTATTCACTTTATATTTGAAATATCATTACAATTGATAAATGTGCGCTTGGCCATTGTAGGAAATCATGCCTTCATTTGCAGGGAGCTGGAATTAGCTACAGACACAACTTGGTACACACAACAGAACATGTGACCCTTTCTAAGATGTACACATCTTTTATTCTTTTGTTATCAAGTTTGCAGCTTGTTTTTGGCACAGGTGTGAAATAATGCTTCCAAAAGCACATACCCCAAACCCTACACTAATAAACAGACACTTCCAGATAGAACAAAAACGTACTATACCAACACAGTGATGAGTTCAAAGCCTGTGCGTCTCGAGAGAAGTGACTCACCTCTTTCAAAGCTCTGCTCTCTGTGATCTCTCTGCATCAAGGATTCTCTTGTTTTGACTGTAAAATACAGAGGGAAGAGAAGACTTTTGGGAGGATATTACATGTGTGTATATATCAAAGATCTGTGTGTGTGTAGTTGCCTGGAAGCAGCTTGTGGTACCTCTCACTCAGTTTAGCTGCAGGCCAAAAGGACGGAGCCGCAGATCAGAGATTCTCTTCAGCTTTACTGTGGCTTTATAGCTCTTCATATGCTTTTGATGCAACTGAGGAACACATTTCCTCTTTGAACTTTACTGTGATTGAAAAGTGTATTGAGAGCAGTGATAATCATGTACAATTGAATAAGAAGCCTATGATGATAAAAACAGTGTTAATGTTAAAGTGGTGCTTGTGTTTCTCAAAAATAAGACTCTATTTCCCATGAACCCCTTTTGTTTTATATGACCAGGGCAAGTGCTTCTTTTAGATTATTTACCTGACACGCTTTGTGTTAATTCTGTTTGTGCTCAAACTTGTTATAGTGTAGTGTCCCCTTAAGCTTCATTTAGGTACACTGAAAATATGTCTGTATATCTTGCAAAGGAGGCTGGATCTAGAAACGAGTGGCTTTGAATGAGCTTTATTTCAGTTCATATACTGTATAAGTAAATAATATATATATATGTCGCCATCTAGTGGCCAGCTCTCAAACAACTTGATGTTGACATCCATTAATGTGACCAGCATTTGTCAAATCATTTACGATGCTCTGAATTGCACGATGTCCATACCCAGAACAAAGACAAAGAACTGAACTCCATGCATCCATTTTTAAAAGGTGTTTCATGGATGTTGGTATTGTATCGCATGTACTATATTGGTGGTTACAAGTACATTTCTCTCCTAGTTTAACCTTATAAACTGTGACACTTTTTGGAATTGGGGAACATGTCTGCTTAAGGATCAGCAGGTCTTGCTTTAGACTTTAGGTCCAGTTGGAGTAAATCTTCTCCATCATTCAGTATCAACAGTTACAGTGTATGTCTGTAAATCGATCCTCCTAGTGATACACACATTGTGTATCACTAGGAGGATGGACACAATGTAAGATCCCATATAGACAGCAGCAAAGGCAGCATTGGCTCCATTTGTCCATGGTGATTAGACCTCTCAGCACTAATGTTACTATGGTACGAGTGCTTTGCTTTACCCTAACACTAACCCTGATCCTGCTCAACAACTGCTACTAATCTAACTAATAAGTGTGTGTGTGTATGTGTGTATTGAAGGTTTCTTCAAGCTGGAGAGTCCTCTTCTACAACACCGTCTCCAGCAGCACAGGAGGACACAGGACAATGTGACCAGTGGACAAACACAGGTACACTGAGAGTCTTTTTATGTTCACTGAAAGAAAGAAACTGGAGTTACATTGATCTTGATTTAGAATGAGGAGTAGTAATATAAAGTTGGCTTCTTCATTAAATGTAAATGACATCCAAGCTTGTTTTGTTAGTCTTTCTTGCTGAGATGTGGAATAGTTTGTGTTATTCTCTTCTTTGAACCACATGATACAAAAGTCTACATTGTAATGATTCTCCTCTCTGCTCTTTCTCTGATCTCCTGACCACATGTACTCATGTTGTCCTCTCCTCCATACTGCAGGGTCATACCAGATCTGCTCTGGTTCGGCTGCACAAGGCCACAGAATATTCATCTTCCAGTGACGAGGTTGGCAGCAGCGATGACGAAGAGAGGAACAGGTAAGATCTTCATCATCAGTGTCATAGAGTGTTGAAGTGATGGCGTATTTTTGTAGGCCGACCTAGAAGATAGCATCGCAATGGATCCGTTGACTAAAAGCAAATGTTTGCCTTGATGACGTTTTGTAGATACATTTAGTTCGTTGTTAGCAACACAGTTTTTAAGATACATAGAAGCTTCGGACATTCACAAGTGGAGTATTTACTGACTCACTATGTCGTTGTAACAATATGGGAACATCTCTTAAGCTTGTTAGCCACAGACCTCATTTCAGGCGTCCAACCACAATGAGGGAACTGGAAGTATTGAAACACTGACTCATTTCTAGGTTTATGGACTCATTCCTGCACCCCTCTCTAATGGCATTGTGCTTATTTATTTTGTTTATTTATCTTATTTTATTATATTTGACTCAGTCCTTCCTTTTAATACCAAACCACTGAAAAAGTTGTGACTTTAGTTTAGTTTAATTTAGTTTATTCTTTCCGTGTTCCCACACCACAGTTATGAAATATGGCCTGTTGCAAAATGTAATTGTGAAACGAACATAATAATCAGACAAAAGTTTTAGTTTTCCTTACTCAGAATTCTGTCGCGTCTCCTGTGTGTGGAAATGTTTCTGCTGACTGCCAAGGCTAAGTGAACTCCAAATTGCAAAATGTATTGACGGAAAGCGGCACATGTTTTAAAATGCAAATTCCCATGGCATAATTTATGGTTTATTAGAAAATGTAAACCTTGAAAATATAGATTGCCAATTTAAATTATTCATTATTTTATATTTAACATACCACAAATATCTCATTAACGTTAATTGTATAATAACAGTGACACATTGCCTTTATGTGTGCTTATGGTGAGGGTTCAAGAATACATTATTTTTGACATTTATTATTCCTCTTTTGGTTTGAACTTTCTATCCGTGGATGTTAATCATTGCCTTGGATTTTGAAGATGTATTGATCTGTTTTTTAGGAATAAATGCAGTCACGCTCAAGTTTAAAATCTGTGTTTCAAGGTCTGGCCTGTCCAATGGAAAGGGGAAATACTTCAGAGGAATACCTGATGGGATCGTGCTGCAGCCTCACCACAATCTCAATCAGGTACCCTACCAGTAAACAAACACACACACACACACACTCTGTTTTTCTTGCTTCATACTTTGTCTGTTACCGTGTCGTGCAGATTTCTCGGGTAGCTGCAGATGACACCTACATGCTACCAGACCTTCTGCAGAAAACCTCCTCCTCCAGTCCTACCCACAATGCACTGGGCCAGGAGCAGCGAAGGCGTGAACTGAACTACTCGCAGTCCCCCACAGCCCCTCGATCCCCCACACACCAGGAACTGCATGTGAGTATACAGTATAAGGAGGAGAGTGCAGTCAGAGAAACTCAAGTTTTTTAAATCAACCCACTTAAAAGGTCCATGTTAGGATATCAGCAACTATGTTTACATGCACAGTATTATAATTGGTTGATACAATTCATGTACACAGCAAAATAAATTAGGATGTATTTAATTACGCCTGATTCTATATGTATGGTTTTTAGATATAGAAATGTGGGATTATTCAGGTTTTAGGAGCATTCTTTGGACGTGTATAGGGCAAATTTAGAATATGCAACTCAATCAGGGTTTTTACTGCCTCTACGCTTTACGTTTACGGCCAACTCTGTGCATGTTGCGTAAATTAACTAGGTGTCAATTTGCAAGGCTAGGGTGGTGATGTAAGCCCAAAATAAAAGCTCACGTTTATGATCAGAAGGAGAAACCCACATACTAATAAAGACAATGGATTATTTGTATATAAGGAGGGTTATGAGTGTAGCCCCTTTCACACCAAGTACTTACTTAGAGCCCAGCACTTAGTGCCAGCACTTAGTACCCCCATGGAACTAAGTACAGATCGCGTTCACACCGGAATAAGTTACCTGAGGGAAGATTACGCAAATGAAGCCGTGGAGTCCCCCGGAGTTGGGGACTGGCTTCAGTAGAAGCTGCTGGGAGTCCCAGCAGCTTCTACTGAAGCCTTCCGAGTAAATCGCCAGAACGCCGACATCTCCTCATCACTCCACCGCTCCCATGCTTTTTTTTGTGTTGCCATAAGTTATTCTCTCTCCGTTGGTGCGCGGGGCTAATGCTAATAATGCTAATTAGGGATGCTCCGATCGCCAATTTTGGGTCCGATCGCCGGAATCAGTATCTGCCGATACCGATCGCCGATCCGATCGAGTGGGCGGGGCCTAAATGGAAGATCACTACATCACTTTAAATCTTCCATTTAAAGTGATGTTTAAAACTCAGTTAATGGGGCTCATTCACTGGAGCTTCCACAAACAACAATCAACTTAATTATTACATTCAAATTATGTATATTATTCAAGTTTACATTCACTTTGGATAATACCACGGGAGAAATGAGCAAGCGCTCTCTTTTCCTCTCTCTCCCTCTCTCTCTCCCCCTCTCTCCCCCTCTCTCCCCCTCTCTCTCCCCCTCTCTCCCTCTCCTGACAGCCCGTCAGTATCGTCTCATGCAGCTCACTGATCCAGTAATGTGTGAGGCCGACAGTGAAGAATAAACATATTTATAACTAGTTTAGCTTGTTCCAGAGGTAGATAAAATAGCTAAGTGTGTTAGGTCTAACTCTTAATGTGTGTTTCGCTCCGCTCACCGGTCCGTCACAGCGGGTGGAGCTGCAGGATTTCTGCTTCACACACACGTTGCATACCGCTATTTTACTGTCTTTTTCGGACACCTTAAAATAATGCCAGACCGGTGAAGCCATTTTGGCGAGCTTGTTTTGCCGCGCACAGAGAAAAGTGTCATGTATTTTACGTCATGCGATCGGCCCTCGCGATCGGCCCTCGCGATCGGCATGTTTAGAGAGCACCGATCGATCGGTAGAGAGTGAGTATCGGCAGATCTCGATCGGTGACCGATCGATCGGAGCATCCCTAATGCTAATGCCAGCAAATACAATGGCGGCTTCACAAAAGTTTTCAGAGTTTTACAGGGCGTGGTTTGCAATTTGCCCAGCCAATCGAAATTGGTACTTTTTTCTCCCCAGGATAGTACCACCTCTCTAGCAGGGACTAAAAATGGGGGTAAAAGTTCTCGGAACTAAGTACTCTGTTTGGTGTGAACGCAAAATTCCAGGCACTAACGGAACTAAACGGGAAAAGTACTCCGGTGTGAACGCGCCTATATGTGAAAATGTCTCAACACCAACCTTTTAAACGACTCGATTGCCGAAATATAATTGGAAGGCTTTATTCACTTTGAAGAATCATATTTTGATGCAAAGAAGCAAGAAGAAACTCCAGCTGTTATATTTTGATCATTATTATTATTAGTATCATGCACGGTTCCATGTAAACAGGAATATGAATTTGTATTTGTCATTTAAACAGCTTGTTGTTTGTATGTGGTTAAGAGCTAAAGCTAAGTGTGTTGTCCATGTTAACTTAGTAAATGTAATCATAGTGCTCTAAAGTTTGAAAAGCAGCAAAAGATGTCTTATAATAAAAATAGGACTCTTTACATTATCAAGACAAACCCTTTTGTAACAGCAGACTGAGTTACCTAAACAGAGAAGTGAAAATGTGTTGGGCATTGCACAGCCTTGTCTTAACAAAGGAGAAATATTTGACCAGTTGCATTTGTTAAATATGTCCACCAGAGGGAAGTGGTGGCACAGTTTAAGTTAATAGGTAGCACATTCAGAAAGGTCTCTAACAATAGTAATGAAATAAAATAAGTTTAAAAGGAAACATAAGTGTTAATGGTGATGCTGCAAAGTTATTGTCACTTGTCTATAAAGCTGTGATGTTTGTGTGTCATTCCATATGGAGCCAGAACAAACTATATGTGTTTTTCTTGTTGTTGTCCATCTTCAGGCCATCAGCAGTCCTACTGGTAAAAACACTTCCACGTCTTCCTCTTCCTCCTTCCTGTCATTCATCGATCCAAGATTGATCCCCATATCATCGCCACCCCAGAGCCCTGGTGAGGACACACACACACACACACACACACACACACACACACACACACACACACACACACACACACACACACACACACACACACACACACACACACACACACACACACACACAGACAGAGATCTGCATTCATACATATGTATTAATCTGTAAGTAAATAAAGAAATTCAATTCATACATTATTTTTCTTTCACTTTATTGTAGATGTTTTTATATGAAGTAATTCACACAACACAACTGTTTTACTCTTAGACACTTTACTCAGTTGACTACACAATGCATTGTCAACATTGATTTTGTTTAATTTCTCCCGATGTAGTGGGCATTAAGGGTGAGCTGATCAAGAGGGAGAACCACAGGAAGGGCTCGGTGGTGAACGTGAACCCGACCAACATCCGACCGCAGAGCGACTCTCCAGAGATCAGGAAGTACAAGAAGAAGTTCAACACTGAGGTCCTCTGTGCTGGACTCTGGGGTTTGTCATTTTGTTGTATTTGTTTTTAAGTATACATCATTTTTACTGCAGTCAACAAACTTCATTGAGTTTTTTAGTTGACAATGTCCATACTCCACATGTTTTGTATTAGTTATTTTCCCCAGCTTTACAGACACTGCAGATGAATGCATGTTGGTCGTAGGGTGTAATGTTTGTGTCTTCTGTTTGTCCTGCAGGTGTGAATCTGTTAGTGGGAACAGAGAACGGTCTGTGGCTGCTGGATCGCAGCGGGCAGGGGAAAGTCTACTCGCTCATCAGCAGACGGAGGTTTCAGCAGATGGATGTTTTGGAAGGACTCAATGTACTAATCACCATATCAGGTACATGTACTGTAGGTTAAAGCAACACAAAAACACTGACTCCGTCTTCTTATACCTGCATTTGCACTTAAGCTAATGGAGATTAGCTGTGCTTTTGACAAATTAAGAATGAACAGCAATAATATCAAATGAATTACTGAACAAGCATACCAGGCACAGGCACAGAAGCTTAAAGTGTCAAAGGCCCACCTGGCCTTTACCAAAACAATTATAATAATAAACAGATCATAAACAGACTCAAAAGACCTCAAATACAGATATAGAGACACAAAGCGACAAACCAAAATGACCAGAAGAAGACGCCAACTCTGCAGGAAGAAGAAAAATGCAAATGATCACAAAGAGACACAAAACCACTAAATAGAAACCTGAAATGCCTACAATGACACCCAAAAAACAAAAAGGGGCGAAACGTGCACATATCAATAACACAACAAACTATAAAGTCTGTGTCTTGCTCCTATGAAGGAGAGGTCGTGGGGCCTGTTGCACGTCTGCCAAGGGGATCATTTTCACAGTTATCTTTCAGCACCAACCACAACTACTGCTAATCCAATATGACAGGTTTTTGCTTTCTTTTCAAATCTAATCTAATCAGGATTCACGTTCACCCTTCTGTCTATCTTGCGCTGTGTCTCCAGGTAAAAAGAACAAGCTCCGTCTGTACTACCTGTCCTGGTTGAGGAATAAAATCCTGCACAACGACCCAGAGGTGGAGAAGAGACAGGGCTGGACCTCAGTAGGTGACCTGGAGGGTTGTGTTCACTATAAAGTGGGTAAGTACACACTGCGAAGGGCATATTGAATGGTACATTATATATCTTCCAAGCCACAGTTAAAATATACAGTACAAATTTATTATTTAGCACACTCTGTGAGAGAGACGTACAGAGTCAAAGAAATGAGGTATCAACTTGTTGAGGTCTTTTTTCATCTTGTTTCTTCAGTGCGTTACGACAAGATTAAGTTCCTGGTGATTGCTTTGAAGAACGCAGTGGAGGTGTACGCCTGGGCCCCAAAACCCTACCACAAATTCATGGCCTTCAAGGTTTGTAACATTCAATTGAAATGCAAAATGCAACTTCTAAGTTGAGATTGTAAAAGAATAGAGTCAGGAACAACGATGTAAGCAACATATACCATGCATACTACGGTGTAAGGTATACTATTGATCTCCTTGTATACTGGGGATACTGGATAGATGTAATGGCTTTAAATGCGGTACAGACGTCAGTGGTCAATAAATTGTAAACCCTCGGTAACCAGATGGAGTTACATGCAAACTTCAACCTGCTCAGCCAGTATTCTAATTCCTTCAAATGTTACCCAAGTCGTCCAACAAGAGAACAATAGAGTGTTGCAGGAATGATTCATGAAGTCCGAAGATGTGTGGCACCTACTGGTTCTTTCATCTCAATGTCATTGTTTTTTAAACTGTTTTGTTATTTAAAAGCACGATCACAAAATGATGAGTTTCTACTTTTAGTTCTACGACATTAAATACGTCATCAAATACCCCACTTCTGAGTTTTGAAGCTTTTAAGTGTCACACCAAACTGCATTTGCTAACAAGTGTCTCAATGAGGCTACTAAACATCATCCAGACAACCATTAGCAACCTTTAGCTTAGCACAATCCCATCTGCTTTTTGTTGAGGGAGCCCTTGTGATGCTAACATTCTGGTCTGCTTAGAAACATGTCATCCCTGCACTCTATACAGTTGTCCTTTTATGTTTTCACTAGAGTTTTGCACAATCTAGGCCAAACTCATTGATAGACATGGAAGAAAAAAATAATAGGGTCACTTCCACAATCAGAAACATGCACATATGCGTATACAGTACATGACACATCCAGGCTATCAGAGTCACAGATCTCAGCAGAGCTGTGTCCCATTTCTTGGTGTCCTTCGTGGCCTGAGCTACTTTTTTTTTCAGAAAAGGCCGAAAATAAACCACCTCTTGTGGAAGCATGACTATTTTAAGATTGCTATTATATGCTCATCACATTGTCACAGTCACTCCTAACTTATTAATGCAGCAGTTCCAGTCAGATAACTGTTGTCACATTTCATTTGTAAATGTATCATTAAAGGTTATGATTGTAATGGAATTTTAGTTGTTTAGACTATCTCCACTGAGGTGTTTTGCTGATGTTTTTGAGCATTTGTCTTTGTGTGAATGTCTATGCAGTCCTTCCGGTCGCTGCCTCAAAAGCCGATGTCTGTTGACCTGACAGTAGAGGAAGGCCAGAGGTTAAAGGTCATCTACGGCTCCCTCTCAGGTTTCCACGCCATTGACGTCGACTCTGGAACACCTTACGACCTCTACCTGCCTACACATGTAAGATAATATTGCTTATGATCAGTACATTTTCTTGTTTGTGCCATTATCAGTCTCAAAACGTTTCTAAAAAGTCAAAGCTTGTCGCCAACTCCCCAAATATTGTAGGCATAAAATGACACATTTCTCACATACTTCACCAAAAGAAGTAGTTAAAAAAAGTCTATCTCCAAAAACAGGGGGTAGAGATTATTTTCATAACAACTGAAAATGTAAAGTACGGAGCCGTTTAAATATCTCTGATGTAGTACATGATACAGATATAATTTTCACTGTAGCTTGAACTCTCTTATACCTGACTTGTTTTTTTATCATCTGCTTTTATACACCATCACCCCATTCTCTCTGGATTCACCTCTCCTCCTCCTCTTCCTCCCACTCACAAGTCTGCAGTTGTCAGTCATTGCTGTTCTTTATCTCTCCTGTTCTCCTCACTCCACCTCCCCCCCACTCTCCTCCCACTCAGTGTGAAGCTGTCAAACACTGAACTCTTCCTCTTTCATTATTCTCTTGATTTCCTCCCACTCATCTAATGTGGCATCATTCATTGGCTCATTTGTATCTTCTCTTTTGTTTCAATAGCCAAACTTCCATTGCTCTCCCTCTATGTCTCTCTGTTGTGTCTGTGGGCAGGTAAAGCTCAGGGCAGAATTGTGTGAGTCGTGGACATTTCCGTTCAGATGTTACTTTTCACCCCTCAAATGGCATTCTGACTTTCAGTTGAATTGCAGAGACTGATCAAGTGCATGCTATCCGACCGTCACTGGATTGTTGACGGTAGTAGACCAGCATCAGTTATTTTGGATTTTAGTTTAATGATTTTGGATTTGATGTTTTGCTTGTGCATCATTTTCTGTAACCCAAGTAGTGTCAAAACACATTCTTACATCTTACTTACTGATTTTACATAGACAACCATATAGAGCTCAACAACATGATGTAGTTTGTGTATATTCTTAGCCACACTACCAGCGTGACTCTAGGGACGTTTTGGAAGCTTATTCTACAATTGTTAAACTTTAGTATGGACTTATAAGGGCCTGCGTTCACATAGCACCATTTTCTGACACAACAACGTTTGACAACGTATCACCACTGTTGTGTGACAGACTAACTTCGCCCCCTTTGATTTTTGTATCTCCTTGTGTGACTGGTAACACTTTATATTAAGGTACACAAATTCACCATCAACTAGTCAAGGTCAAGGTTCTTTATTTGTCATACGAACATAGCTACAGAGTAGTTATGTCGATGAAAATCTTAGGTCACAGGCTTCTCCAACAGTGCAACACAATAATACAGATAAACAGAAAAATATAGTGCAAGTAAATATTAAAAAGTAAATACAAAAAGAAAAATAGTTTAAAAAATGTGAAATAAGAGTCTATATGCAAGTTATTGGAATGATATATTAGAGAAATAGATACATAATTACTAAGTAGCAGATGAATGTTATGGATGTTGTTTCAACAGTTCAGGTGTTTAACAGATGTTGTTTCAGCAGTTCAGGTGTTTAGCAGTCTTATGGCCTGTGGTATGAAACTGTCTCTGAATCTGGTGGTTTTAGTCCGGATGCTGCGGTAACGCCTGCCAGACGGCAGCAGACAGAACAGTTTGTGGCTGGGGTGATGGGGGTCTTTTATAATCCGTAGTGATTTCTTCCTGAGCCGCTGGGAGTAAAGGTCCTCCATGGATGGCAGCTCCGTCCTGGTGATGTGCTGTGCAGTTTTCACCACCCTCTGTAAAGCCTTACGGTTGAGGTCGGTGCAGCTGCCGTACCAGGCCGTGATGCAGCCAGTCAGGATACTCTCTATGGTGCACCTGTGGAAGTTGCAGAGTATCCTGGAGTCCATATTGAACCTCCTCAGCCTGCGGAGGAAGAAGAGCCGCTGTCGAGCTTTCTTGGTGATGGTGGTGGTGTGAAAAGTCCATGTCAGGTCCTCAGTGATGTGGACCCCAAGGAACCTGAAGCTGCTCATTCTCTCCACCGTAGTCCCATTGATGGCGATGGGGGCGTGTCCCTCTCCCTGCTGCTTCCTGTAGTCCACAATCAGCTCCTTTGTTTTGCTGATGTTGAGATGGAGGTTGTTCTCCTGGCACCAAGATGTCAGGTTTTCTACCTCCTCTCTGTACGCCGTCTCGTCGCCGTCTGTGATCTGGCCGATGACGGTCGTGTCGTCAGCAAACTTCACGATGGTGTTGGAGCTGTGTGTGGCCACGCAGTCGTGGGTGAACAGGGAGTAGAGGAGAGGGCTGAGCATGCAGCCTTGAGGGGCTCCGGTGTTGAGGATCAGGGTGGAGGATGTGATGTTTCCCACCCGCACTGCCTGGGGTCTGCCCGTCAAGAAGTTCAGGATCCAGTCACAGAGGGCGCTGTTGAGCCCGAGGTCTCTGAGCTTGATGACCAGCTTGGAGGGCACAATGGTATTGAATGCTGAACTGTAGTCAATGAACAGCATTCTCACATAGTGTTCCTCTGGTCCAGGTGTGAGAGGATAGTGTGGATGGTGAGGGCTATGGCGTCGTCTGTGAACCGGTTTGCTCTGTAGGCAAACTGCAGGGGGTCCAGAGAGTCCGGGAGAGAGGAGGTGATGAAGGTTTTGACTAACCGCTCAAAGCACTTCATTATGATGGAGGTGAGCGCTACTGGGCGGTAGTCATTGTGTGATTTTTGTCTTTTTGGGGACAGGAACGATGGTGGAGTGTTTAAAAAATGTGGGGACTACAGACTGCAGCAGGGACCTGTTGAAGATGTCTGTGAACACCTCTGCCAGCTGACCTGCACACACCCTGAGAACACGGCCAGGGATGCCGTCAGGTCCAGGAGCCTTGTGTGGGTTAACCCTTTTAAAGGATTTATACACATCTGCCCTGTTTAAAACAAAAGGGCAGGGCTCCTGGTCCTTCTCTGCACCCCCAGCCTGGCTGCTCTCAAATCGTGCAAAAAAACAGTTTAACTAGTTGTTAATTAACATGCATATTAGCAGTATATTGGTTCTTTATTAGTCATTATAAAACACTTATTAATGCCTTATTCTACATGACCATATTCTACAAGTAATAGGCCATTAGTTGAGAGTTTTTCCTCAATAACCCTCTAATTAGTGCTTATTTATTGCAAGTAAGGAAGTTGTTGTCCATGAGTTTTGGTCTTAATATGCGCTGCTCAATATGGGCCTAATAAGGCAGTAGTACCACAAGAATAGTAATTCTCCCATAATAACACTTAACATTACATTAAATTACATGTTACTTGTTAGACGCTTTTATCCAAAGCGACTTACATACTCAATACTGTGGGCAATCCCCACAAGAGCAATTTGGGGTGAAGAACGACATGCTGACTGCAGTGGGGTTTGAACCTGTGCTCCCCTGATACGAACACAAACGCACTAAACCACTGCGCCACACGCCTCCACAAATATGGATCTATTCTTATGTAACAAGACATGAAACTATAAGTGTTGGTTAAGTCTAAATAACTCAAGATTAGAATATGTTCCCTATTTTAAAGGGAAGTCTTGTTCATTACCAATAAGCTAATTGACCTGAACAGGTTCCCTATTCTAAAGTTGCCTCCTCTTCACACTTTGTAAATACATTATAGCACACAACTACTGAAATTAACCTCAACAGCACATGAACAAAGTAGGCACATGTTGAAATATCTGTTTTAATAAAGCACTATAGAGAGGTTCAGACACATACCAAAACATGTCAAGTTTCTCCAAGGCTGAGAACACATACAGCCTGTACTTCTTAATAAAAACTGATTTTTAACAGATTTTAAGTATTTGTGATCATACTGTGTGACCTGCTTGTATGTACTTACACAATAGGTGTACTGTTCTCTCTATGTGTTGTACTGTCTCAGTGTGGACATAGATTAAACAGCCAGTCAAACTCTTTTGAGAGCCACGGAATGAGCAGCCATGCTCCTTTATTGACTTATTTGCACTCCACTGACATTCAAACGGAAAAGTTACAAGGCACTTAATAATCTCATACATGCAAGTGTAACATACACAGATTAACACATAGGACCGTTAAATGTAAACAAGGTAAATATAGCTAATGCTAGCTGTGCAATAAGCATGTATACAGGCTAGTATCGCTAAAGGCCCAGACAAACCAATCTGACAACAAAGAACTGACACAGACGGACCCCGACTGTTGCGTCGCCTCGCGTCTCTGCGTTTTGGCCATGTGTCGCACTGGAACACACCGCAAAGACTTCAGCCGATGGCTAAGAAGCACGTACGAACTGCGCATGCGTGAGTGGCAATAACTCTCCTTACCAGCAGGTGGCGGTAGTGTGTATTCGTCATTCAAAAGAGGCAACAACCGGAAGACAGACTGCGTGATAACCGAGAGAAGAACAGACTGCGTGATATAAACCAACAACAAATAGCGTGTGCGTTCCATTTTCACTCTACAACTAGAAGCTCATTCCCGAACCTGTGTCGAGAGCTGGAGTTAAATGAAATCTCAGATTTGCCTTCTTAATAGAGTGGCAAAGTCACGCCCATCTACTTCCGGTCCATGGGACCTTATTTCGGAAAATGTATGTATTGAAGTCAATGGAGAGAGAAAACGTATCTTTCGATCCCGTTTGAATTGTGCCATGAATTACACATATGATGTTTGTCAATCTTAAAAAATAATTTCCATGTCAAAAGAGTCACAGTTTGTCGTAAAACTGTTGAAATATAAGACTATGAAAAATACGCAACTAGAAAGACGACAAATCCCAGAGTCGCATAAGTGATGTCACTCATACTGTAACTGATGTCACAATTGTTTTCCTCCACTAAAATAGCGATAGCTAAGATAAGATAACTTTAACAAGATGCCTGTGTGCTTAGTACCAGGTTGTTATCATACCAGCAATGGGTCTTGCTCGTTCTTTCGCTTCCCGTCTGATGAAAGGACCAGGAGTGGCTGGATCAAGTTAGCTACCTAGCTAGTAGCAAGCACGTTAGTTAGCATTACAGCCGGCT